CAACTTTTTTTTAAAACACAGCAGGCCTTTCACAATCAACTCTCATTAACTAGTGAGTTCACAGCTTCCGTTTTATTCAAACGTATCCGTAAGCCTTGGTTACGTGTTGCCTCTGCAGGTCAATTTGCTTGTTCTGATAATAAGCGAATACTTAACAATGACAAGGTATTCTCTAAAAATGTCTACTTAAATTGTAGATAAAAAAGCCATAATTTTATTTTTTTTACCTTTAAATCACAAAAATAAATTATATTTTACAACCACAAGACAGTGAGATCGTCTTCTCCCGAAAAGGTAAAAAAAGGAAAGCTTTCAACCCAAAAATTACTCAATCCACTTGTCAAAAAACAACAAAAAACATTCCAAGATTAACTGAGGTAGTCTAAATGTGACCCTCGGGCCCGATTGTTCCAACACAGCGGTCAAATATCAGCATATGTGCATGCGCTAAGGAATTAACGACACTGGTTTGCGACATTCGAAATCTCCCTTTATGAGAAATATTTCAATCATTAAGTAACAAAGAGGGAAAAATGCGGTTCAGTAGATGCCGTGTGCTCTTATGACAACATTTTACTCTGACTCGACATTGTTACCACACCTATTCACACTCGTGGATCTTGACTTCTATAGCTTACGGAGTTTCAATTTTTACGCGCAAAATTGAAGTGTTCATGGAAATCTGTAAAAAGAAACAAAAATAGAAAAAGGGAAAACTCCTGACTTTTCAAACACATAGCTCATTCATGCACGGGTATATATCATGTTGATTCACCACCCTATTTTCAGTTTTTAAATAAAGTAATACGGTTTTCAAACGCCGTGACTTAGCGGCTTACATTCTTGTGCGTAACTCGTGTGAAAAACTTAATTCTGACGGCCGGAAAGCACGCCACCTAGTCATAACAACATTCGCACATCTGCAGACGTTTGACCCCTGTGGTTGGTTGTTCTAGAGGATGCTAGCATTAGACCATGATTATAGTTAAGGCAGCTTTTGATTTCCTTTATATAAAGTGTGTAATAGGGATGAGGTCTGTAAGGAGCTTCATCTTGGCGCTCGGCAAAATTAAAGGTATCAAAATATAAACCGCTAAACTCTGAGAAAAGAGATAAAACAAAGTCAAAATTTTACATCAACAGTAGTTCAACTTAATCGCACAGTTAAACAGTTCTCTCCTCGTGTTTTAAAACGATTTTATGAAAATGTAATGCATCTGTTAAATATTTAACTGATAAATAAGAGATCCCTCGTCTTTTCACATTCTTACGAGTAATAATTCCACATAGAACTTCATCAACTTTATATTGACTTGACACTCAACGTTTTGACTTCTGTATCGTCGAAGGCTGCATTAACCTGAGATAGGTCAGCGGTGGGATATTTCACAGCGGGCCCACGAGCACTTTTAGGGAGCCTCATTATCACCACCAAGCCTACTATTATCGCTATGGCAACAATGGCGCCCACTCACACGATGACCACCTTGGTCGTGGGAACGTTTTTCGCTGTCTTTTTGGATTGTGTCTGAATCTGAAAAAATAATAAATAAGTTTACTCCGTTAGTCCAGTTCAGAGACATAAAACATTTGACGTGGCCTCGTCTTAAGGTTTTCTGTCTTAGACGAGCCATGGTGCGACATGGGAAATAGCACAAGAACGACTGTGTGCATGTCATGATCTCAATCTCAGCAGGAAAATGAGAAGAATCACGTGAAATAGCAAATTTGCCAAGGATTGCAGGATTAAGACAAGTTGAAAAGTGATACACCGAATCTCCAACCGTTTGTGTATCGCTAAAAAGAATTTCCGGCGAGGTGTAACAACAGTGGATACGGTGAGATAGAAAACCGGCTAAAAGAGAAACAGGGATTCCGAGAGGTTTTAACTGAACATAAGTAGATCATGATGGCTTGGAAATGATTTTACCTGTAATCATAATATTCCTGCCCTCTTTTAGAAATTTGAGCATATGGAAAAGAATAGCAAGCATGCTAATTTTGGGCCACGTCTATCAACATGGTTTTTTTTCCCCTTATTTCTCGCATAGATGGGAGAAATAATTCTGCTCGAACCATTGCGTTAATACTCATATCAAGAAGACATCGTGCGATAAGTCCCTCTTTATTTCAAAATCGGTTTTAACCGTCAGTGCACAAAAGGGAACATATTTAGCGACAAATTCTTTCGCGTGAAGAGTCTACAAGAGGCAAACGAACAAATTAAAGGCCGGCCTTTACTTCGAATAGAAGGATTAATTTGTTACAACTATGTTAACTTATTCAATACTCATTAGTTCTTTAACTAATGCTGTCTAGAAAATATGAATACTCTAAACCTGGTTGTTATGAGATATTTCCTTCTTTCTCCCTCTCTTTCTTTACTAAATTATCTTGCTTTTTTTTCTTATGGTATGCAAGTTAAGTAACCTGTCCAAACTGGCTCAAAACTCCTCCCTTGCAAAGAAATTTCAGTTATGTATTCATAATTAGAAAATAGCGGTTTCGTGCCTACGGAGTAACCTCTCAAAACCCCAGTGCATACTTGGGTGCTTGTTTGTGTTTTTCCTTTTACGTTTTTGTTGACCGAAAGTCAGATTAAAGACACTTGTCCTAAGTTAGAAGAATATATGAAAATGAGAAACAGGATTGAGCGAAGTCAATTTGATAAACCTGCTAGGAAACTAATTTCTACGATTCTATATGGTTGATGATGCATTAATTGCAAAGGGATATGTAATATGCGAGGTGGTTCTACCTTTTTAACTCATAAAAATAGTGTCCGAAAATCAATACCTTAATTTAGGCCGAGAGCGTTCTAAGAAATGAAGTGAAGTCGTTCTTAAAACCAACTTGATAGTGTGCGCATAAGGTCTGAGGTTTAACGTGCTATTTCAGGATCATACATCAAAATTGTACTCTCCAAGTAGTTTTTTTAGCAATGAAATACTTCTCTGCCCTTTTGTCGACCTTGGCTTTCAGATGTGTTGTGGTTTACCGCTTCACTTTGGCTTCGACTTTCTATGTTTTTTGATTAGTAGATCGTTGTCAGAGCTTCCACGAGTTTGACTTATAATTTTACTTACCTCATCCGGGTGCGGTTGCGAACACGAAAGTAAGAACGTGATTTCCATACGGTTGACTGGGCATAACATTGGACACAACACCAGATGGAATTCCTACTTGCCCTGGTTTAATTACAGATTTCATACTTTTCATAAGTTTTTTCATTTCATAAGTTTACTATTTATAAAAACAAATAAAATGCATTCTACAAGTCCCTTTTAAGTTTAAGTGAATATTCTCTCAGAACTCATAAACAGCAAATCTGAAAATATTTTCCCAGGAATAAAAGAGAATCCACTGACGTAACAGCGTGAGAAAAAACAAAACAAAACAAAACAAAACAACAAAAAAACAAAACAAAACAAAAAAAAATACTTGAGACAGATTGTCTCTTCGATCAGTTTCGTCTGACAGGGCGGGTTTTAGCACGTTTCAAAATAATTGCCTTCTAAGCCTTATTTCAAGAAATTGCTTTTTCAAACTCTGCAATTTGAAATGGTAATTTAATAAAGAGGTTTGGATTTTTCAAATTCTTTCTAGAGAGTACTGTTTTTATCGCCCGCATAGTTCGTGATGTTTGCCTTTAATTAATATTTGGAAGACCCCTGACCGCGAAATAATACTCATAACTCTCAAGACTTTTTTAAGGGTCTTTTAAGTGCCGAACGCAATCATTGGCCATTGGCAATTAGATGATGCGTAGTGCGTAGTACCCTTAGGGAAAATTTCATCAAGACGATAAAATGGTCTGTGGAGCTTTTAGCAGACTTCTTAGAGCCTTTTTACATGGATGTGGGGGACCTCAGGTGGGTGAGGCAACCCGCCTAGCTGTGGTCGAAAAATAGCCCGCGTTTACATACAATCTTACTACCCCGCGATGCCGGGCTGACGTTTCTCGAGGTTGTAATCGCACTTGTAATTACGGCGACGTGTGGTTACCGTAAAAACGTAATTTATTTTCCTCTAAGTTTTTCGCCAATAGCTCAATGCATTACCTGTTTCCGACGGTAAAACGTGTTCACTTGGGCATAACATGTGAGTGTAGTGTTGAGTTTAAAGTAAACACGTGACTAAATCGCTGTCGATGTTTCATTGCCAAGAGGACGTAAGAATGGTGTTTTAACGTTTTAGCTCTGCATGGGACGGTTAGGAAGTGTAAAAAGTTGTAACACAGGTGTGTTTCGCTCTTGTTTGGCTCATTTGAGCTTTTTGTAACATTGAAGCCATCCCGGCTAGGCATGTTACCCTACCTTGAGACGTTTACATGACAAGTTGTCACCCAGGCTGACAGGGATACCCTACCAAGCAGACCGCGCAATCCGCTTAGGCGGGTCACCCCACCTATCATGTAAACTTGATCAAGATAAAATAAGAGTTACTTATAGGAGTTGCTACTTCGAGACTCAAGGTAAATTTAAAGAGAGATCGCCAATCCTGCTCTGAGGACATGGTTGAAAACAACAAAAACAAATAAAACACGCAAGCAAACAAAAACTAAAGACACTCCATATACTAGTGGTGGGGGTGGGGTGGGGGTGGTTGGACGATGGTTAAAAGGGTCCAGGCTTAATAGTGTGTTCTTTGGCAAGATATTTGGTTCTCACAGTGCCTCTCTCCACCCAGGACTGTAAAATTTTAGCGGCGAATTGTTAAGGGAACCGGGGGGGGTGAGGGGGGGAGGAGGGAGAGAGTTACGGACTAATAACCATCAGAGGGGAGAAGAAGTACTCCCAACTGCCTCATGGTATCGAGGCCATTGAAAAGCTTTTTCGGCTTGCTGAGAGGCAAATGGCTCAGTGCAGACTATAAATATCAAGGATTTAAGAAAAGTGCAGTGAAACAAGATAACTTGTTGAGGTGAAATAAAATAAAACTTGTTATTCTTCTTCAAATTGTATTGCTTCTTTGATAGACTGAACAGCATAAATTGTGACAATTACAAGCTGTGGCAAGGTTAATACATATAATGAATGAAAATTCCACAACTTTTTTTTTTTCTTAAACACAGCAGGCCTTTCACAATCAACTCTCATTAACTAGTGAGTTCAAAGCCTCCGTTTTCTTCAAACGTATCCGTAAGCCTCGGTTACGTGTTACCTCTACGTACAGGCCAATTTGCTTGTTCTGATAATGAGCGAATACTTAACAATATCAATATATTCTCTAAAAATGTCTACTTAAATCATAGATAAAAAAGCCATAATTTTGTTCTTTTTTACCATCAAATCCCAAAAATGAATTATATTTTGCAACCTCAAGACAGTGAAATCGTCTTCTCTCGAAAAGGTAAGAAAAGGAAAGCTTTCAACACAAAAATTAGTTAATCCACTTGTCAAAAAACAACTAAAAACATTCCAAGATTAACTGAGGTAGGCAAAATGTGACCCTTGGGCCCGGTTGTTCCAACACAGCGGTCAAGTGTCAGGCATGTGCGAAGGAATTAACGAAACTGGCTTACGACATTCGAAACCTTCCTTTTTGAGAAATATTTCATTCATTAAGTAACAAAGTGACTAGGTATACATCTCAGAGAGGATAAAAATTTGATTCACTAGATGCATGTGCTCTTACGACAACATCTTACTCTAACTCGAAATCGTTACTACACATATGATAGTGTCGAGCACTCGTGGATCTTGACTTCTATAGCTTACGGAGTTTCAATTATTACGCGCAAAATTGAAGCGTTCATGGAAATCTGTAAAAAGAAACAAAAGTAGGAAAAGGGAAAACTTCTGACTTTTTGAACACATAGCTTATTCATGCACGGGTATCTTGTTGATTTACTACCCTATTTTCAGTTTAAAAAATAATAATAATACGGTTTTCAAACTCCGTGACTTACTGGCTTGCATTCTTGTTCGTAACTCGTGTGAGAAAACTTAATTCTGACGGCCGGTAAGCACGCCACCTAGGCATAACAACATTCGCACACCCACAGACGTTTGACCGCTGTGGTTGGTTGTTCTAGAGGACACTAGCATTAGACCATGATTATAGTTAAGCCAGCTTTTGATTTCTTTCATATAAAGTGTGTAATGGGGATGAGGTCTGTAAGGAGCTTCATCTTGGCGCTCGGCAAAATTAAAGGTATCAAAATATAAACCACTAAACTCTGAGAAAAGAGATAAAACAAAGTCAAAATTTTACATCAACAGTAGTTCAACTTAATCGCGTTCTAAACAGTTCTCCCCTCGTCTTTCAAAAAACGAGGGGAGAAAATGTAATGCATCGGTTAAATATTTAACCGATAAATAAGAGATCCCTCGTCTTTTCATATTCATACGAGTAATAATTCCACATAGAACTTCATCAACTTTATATTGACTTGACACTCAACGTTTTGACTTCTGTATCGTCGAAGGCTGCATTAACCTGAGATAGGTCAGCGGTGACATTTTTCACAGCGGGCCCACGAGCACTTTTAGAGAACCTCATCATTACCACCAAGCCTGCTATTATCGCTAAGACAACAATGGCGCCCACACACACGATGACCACCTTGGTCGTGGGAAAGTTTTCGCTGTCTTTTTGGATTGTGTTTGAATCTGAAAAAATAATAAATAAGTTTACTCCGTTAGTCCAGTTCAGAGACAGACATTTGACGTGGCCTCGTCTTAAGGTTTTCTGTCTTGGACGAGCCATGATGCGCGTGGTGACATGGGAAATAGCACAAGAACGACTGTTTGCATGTCATGATCTCAATCTCAGCAGGAAAATGAGAAGAATCACGTGAAATAGCAAATTTGCCAGAGGATTGCAGGATTAAGACAAGTTGAAAAGTGATACACCGAGTCTCCAACCGTTTGTGTATCACTTAAAAGAATTCCGGGCGAGGTGTAACAGCAGTGGATACGGTGAGATAGAAAACCGGCTAAAAGAGAAACAGGGATTCCGAGAGGTTTTAACTGAACATAAGAAGATCATAATGGCTTGGAAATGATTTTACCTGTAATCATAATATTCCTGCCCTTTTTTAGAAATTTGAGCATATGGAAAAGAATAGGAAGCATGCTAATTTTGGGTCACGTCTATCAACATGTTTTTTTTTTTCATTATTAAGGGTCTGGTCGGTCTGAACGGGAAAATGTACTCGGCTTACATTATCATAGTTCTAAATTTAGCTCTATCGCCGAATAAAGAAACATCCTTATTTCTTTATTCCTCGTTTGAGCTAATGGTTTACAAACCTTCTACTCCATCATTTTCATCGGCTTTATTAGGCTTGGTGGTATCGCCTTCTTCAACGATAGTAAATGGTCCGAGAACTAAGTGCACCTCATTTGGATCTTGCTCTTCCAAGTTCCTTCTCTTCCGTTTGCTTGTGCAAGCACCACATTGTGTAGCACAAGTGGATGCAGTATTGCTTATTAAGCATGCCAATGCATTACAGTGGAAATAAACTCGGTCACCAGCACTTCTACCAGCAAAGCGGAACGCAGATAAGGTAAACGTTTGAGAGTTGGTAGGAGTTGCTGAGCAATTATAATCCGTCACAAACTGATCGCTTTGAACATGGCAACTGAAAAAAAGAAATAGGTGTAGTTTATGTTCGAACATATTTTAAACGAGTCGCTTTATCAAACTATCCGAAGCACAAGAAATTAAATAAGTACGGATCAGAAATCATTCGATTTTTTTCTACACCATAAAAAAACCTTAGTTAAATATGTTCTTACTACATCTGAGGTACAACTACACGAACTTTAAAAACTGTCTTCAAATGAGCTAGAAATCTCCATCTTGAATCTTGACCTACGTGTGAATAATCAAGCCGTGTTTAGTTTAGGGACCAGTCCCTATATATAAAATGAGGAGGGGGGGGCTAGGTTGGAGGATTTTTGGCGGGGGACCTTATGGTTTTCTGGGTGAACGGAGTGGGGATTAATCGTCGCCAACAGAGTATAAAGAAGGGAAATATGAAAAAAAATTGACTGACAATTAACTGTCAATGAAGGAAGTCTTTGAATATCACAGAGCCTTATGGGGGGATCAGGTAAACTTTATCATGCCACTGCTAGAATCCTCTGACTATGGCAGTTGCTAAACCAACCTAATTTCGATTGGCACAAGAGCTTAGCACAAGCACAAAATGATATCATGAAATTTGCAAAAAGTCGTTTTCCTCAGTTTCGATTACTTAACTTCGATTAGTATTCATTTTTTCTTCCTTGTTTACGGACAAGAAAATAGCCAAAGGAAGTATGATTTCAGTTTTGCTCAGTTCTGCTCAGATAACGAGCGTTATGGATGACAAACAAATAGGCATTTTTCTTCGAGGAAACGGATTATCGGTTTCACTCCAACATGTCAGTGAAGAACATATAAATTCTCTTCCAGAGTGATGATTTTACCTTAATATAACAATCGAACTTTCTTGACTACCCTACAAAGAGATGTTTGTTAGCTAAAAGGAAGAAGTACCAGTAATAAAGTGAGAGATCTAGAGCAACGAAAGCGCTACGCAACTTCGGAATCTTACCCGCTTTGAATAAATGTATAGTTGTTAGCATCGTTTACGTTATCTGTGGATGTAGCCTTGCACTGGGTAAGATGTAATTCAATGTCACTGCTTGTGGTTTGAACTTCGATTTTGAAATATAATTTCTGTCCCAAATCGATCACCTCATTTGTAACAAGGTTTTGATGATTTTCATCCTGGTAGATGTTCATAGTAAACGTCAGAGCACCACTGCCTGTCAAACAACAAGATATTCAGATTACAGATAAATCAGAAAAAGTTTATTGTTCTCATTACTTTATCAAAACTATGACAAAATTTACAAACGTAATTTTTTATCAGGAGCCCCGTTTGAGAACTTAACTGGGAAGTGCATGTAAACGTCATGTTTGATAAGGCAATAAGGCAGCTTATGGGTCACACCAATGTCCTTGTTCTCGGCGTATCCGCATCAATCGCGCGGGCTCTTAAATAGACCATTGGGCATAATGACCTTCTTTTGGAAAAAATCAAAGAAGTGAAAAAAAAAAATATGATGAATCTATCGATATTTCGCGTCTCGTATTTTGTCATGGTATCAGGATTTCACTTAGTAAAATTCTGACCGTGATCATAACCGTCATCAATTAGAGTGCCAGAGCCACTAATCTAATTGTTTTCAGTTGGCATGGATCTTCTGTTCGTTCAAAATTTAAAACGAGACAAACTCATGTTTCTTTTTTTGCTTTGTTTACACGAGCAACAAAATGGCAAGTTGGTGACATTACTTGCTATCTATGACTGATTAGTATAAATCTACCACGAGCGTTCTATCACAAGTACTACAGTCTGATTGGCTATGCAACTTGCTATCAATCCATTCTTTGTTATAATCCAATAAGACTTTTTGCTCACGTGCGATTGGTCTAAACACATCGCGTGACCAAATATGCCTTTGCTAAAAGATCGAACCAGACAACACTGAGAATCAACCGATACTCCTTCTCCTTATTATAATGGAATCCTGGACTGACATACTGGCTGAAAAATGAACGAGTAGTCGAGAAGACTCGTGTTCAACTTAAACATGTTGAGCCAATTTTAAAGCTGAGTGAATTATTGTCGATGTTACGACTATTCGAGAGGGATTATTTGTCTTTTGGCCCAAGTAAGCTTTTCTGGGCCAGTGCGCGGAATTTCCAATCAGATAGATTATCAAATCCAGAGTTTTTACTCAGCTTTGGCCGGTTTTCTCTGTCTGATACTTTTGGATTCCTATTATGTTGAGTCTACCCAAACGGGGGCTATCGGCAGATATTTGTCCTCTGACTTATGTCACATGATGCAATGTCTCCAATGAGTTCGCCCAGAAATTAATATACAAGTTAAACATAAAGAAAAAAGCTTATATTTTAGTGCAGCAACGTTCATGGACATTTAAGAGCTGTTTCGAAAACCGAAAGGCAAGTCTTGGGAACAGTCATTATTAAATGATAGAATAACATAATAAACAGACAATCTACTCAATAAGCTCTAAAGGAAAAGTATAGTGCAGTTAACTTTACTCACTAGAAGCAGTTGTCGGCGTTCGCACGTATGAGCAAATGATGTTAAATTCAGCTTCGTCTGGATCTTTTTTGATATCAAAGACAACGTTGTGGTAAAATGATCTTTCTTCATCTTTTGAGATAGTGAGCTCAGTATTGCATGTCCCAAGGGTAATGTCAAAGTCGAAAGTAATTGAACCATTGGTAGCTTTACAATCTTTGTCATGGAGAGCCAGGTCAGTCGCGGCGAAAGAAGGGTCAGAATCAGTAAATAATGATTTTTTAATTGCTACCAAGATGTTGGACGTTTGGCAAGTGACGGCAACATTCTCTGGGATAAAAGGAATCAGTAAAACGATTATAACAAACGTCATCATTGCTAGCCAGTTAAAAAAAGGGGGGAGGGAGGGGAGGGAACACAAAATCATTTGATCTTCAAGATTCGAAATTCTTTCCTTTTTAATAACCCAACATTTCTTGTTTCAACTTTTTTTTTTATCGGTATTCAGAATTCATTTTGAGCTATATCTCGTCATTCATGATCCCAAGTTTTAAGGTTTTAAACTCGTAAATTTATGATTCTGTCTGATTTGACCGCTATGATTCACTGATGATCCACGATTTCACCTTGGGTCCCCCCCCCTCTCCTCCTTCCCCTCCTCCTCCTTCCCCCATCCTTTTCCAGCGCCAGTTAACATCAGTTTGTTTCATAGATTTATTTCAAATAAAGAATCAGGATTAATTAATCTGGAATTGCGTTGGCTTTGTTATGTTAAGCATTGTGATCAGTCTTGAAAACACGCACCACATGCAGCCCATCGAACAATCAGAGGGAAAAATACACTCAATTGTTTGTTACTCGCATTCAGTGCCGCACGTCATTACGTTTAATTCTCATTGGTTTCTTCGTTCTTCTGATTGGTTTTTGTGTTAACCCTTTAACTCCCATGAGTGACCAAGACTAAATTTTTCCTTACAAATATCACTATAATATCAACCAGATAAAAGATGAGAATAATTGGGGATAATTAGTTGATCCCATACTAAATTCTCTGAACTAACATTATAAGAATTGTATGGTTGACAGTAAGGAGAAGTACAAATTTGATCTGGGAGTTAAAGGGTTAACTTGGATTTCATTTTATGTCACTTGATCAAATAGCTAAGCCACAAAACCTAACAACATCGAAGCCGTAAGTATGGCATCCACGTGTTCTTGACTGAACAGCATATCGGGGTTATATAAACCCCGGACACGACAACATGCTATTTTTTCAGTGAGTAGCGAGAAATAAGATAATTCCTAAACCTTCTTTACCAGTCCTCCTTTTACGAAAACCGTCACTGAACACCAATCTATGCTGGTTCCCCCATCAGGTTGGACTTAAATTCACACTACCGTTTCTCCTGACAATCTTCTCAGAGTTACGCTCGTGTTACGCTCATCTTCATTTGCGGAGGGAATGGAATGAACCATTTCGTCCCTCACTAGCTATGTCAAATACAATCTTTCATGATCATCCATATTATATTGTTGTGAAACATACCTGGAACAGCATAAATCTCCACCCTTAGGCATGTAAGGTTGGAAACTGGTATAAACCGCAGATGTGTCGCAGTCACGTTTGTTGTCAGGGTATGGAATGTAGCGACATCACCACCAGCTGATGAGGCATTAAAGGTCTGGAGAGGTACCGAAAACATTCATATTTCAAAATTCATTTAAAAAAAAAAGCATTTCGGGAAATTCAAGTTATTGTTTCTCTAATCAGTCTTTAAAAAAAAATTGAAAGTATTTTACGTGTCTTGTTTTAGCGCTGAATGCTCATTAATAAAAATCTATCGTAAATATACACCCAATAGAAGGACCTAGAAGAATTCAAGTCTGTAAGCTGTTAATACAAGAACGACAAAGGCAAAAGGTATCGACTGCAGCCTCTAGGCAGTGAAAAAATCGTAATGAAAGCGGCAAGGGACCTCAAGTAATTAATCAGGACGACAACACCAAAGAAAAAAGTTTATGAAAAACAAACTTGCATTTTGACTAGGAATTCTTAGCGAATTTCTAGTGACCTTTACCACTTCGAAAGATTCCAAAAAAATTCCCCCCTTCGAAATTTGATATGTGGAAAGTGCAAAGCTTCAAAGAAAAAAAAAATTATGAAAACAAAAGCTACGATGAAAAAGAAAATGTGTAAAGACAACGATAACAATGCTATGCTGTGGTGTCTGATAGTACTTTTCAGTTGGTTTAAAAACCTGAACAGTGATGCTGGCTATTAAAATGTGATGCAAGCCTAGCTATAACGTCGGTGCTTAAAAAAAATGTTTTTCACGTTTATAATTAAATGGTTTCAGGATCAAATTATAAGATCTCTGGTCGGTGGGAATAACATACTCGCAGACTGAGAATTTTTTTAGTTCCACCTTAAGGTGGAAATTGACTGAGTCTAAAGCAATAAATTCTAACCAATTTCGACAATAAGTATAGATATTTTCAAATCGTTTATATAAAATTTATTGAATGAACCCGCCAGCGAAACAAGTTGATAAAAATTAAAGGTCAATTATTTACCTTCCCTGAGTCAATGGCAGTAAAGGCTGATCCGTCTGTTGAAGACTGAAGCGTAAAGTTTGTAGACTCTAAGGCATTAGGCTTTCCCTGCACTTCGACGCCGCATATTACGTAGCTTTTACCCAAGCTTATTTGTAGATATAAAAGACTGTCATTACCATTTGTTTGAGGACACCAGGCACCAGTTCCAGCCAGGCGGCCATGTTTGGCTGGAAAACCAGTGAGCGCCGAGCCTGCAGTCATGTTATCGTCAGGTATCACTTTCAGTTCATCGCGAACACCAACGGGAGTGTCAGAACACGAACCTGAACGTTTAAAATCAAACAAATGGGCTTAAATTTGACATGGATAAATGTACTTTAATACACATCAGCAAATGATTAGCTGAATATTCAGTACCACCCAGGTTGAATTGAGGTCTTCATTATACAATGAACCATAATTACCACATCGAAAAATATTATAACGCCTCATTTGTATTTTTCAATGAGTTTAGCGAAAGGAATGAGGACCAGAGTCCTCTATCTTCCTCCCTCGAGAGAGCCCCTCCCTCGATTTTTCTTTGTTGCAATCTCCTGAATTCTGAGAAGACCTGATGAGCCACAACCAGGGTCCATTCTCGGGGAAGGAAGAAAGATGGCCCTAGGAAACAAGGTTACGCTCAGGCTTTTCAGATATAATAACAATAGCATTCGGACCATTTGGAGGGAAAATATGCACGGATATTTGTCCGCGTACATTTTTCGAAATGCGAACATTTTTCCGAGAGCGACGCTCGAGAAAAACTCTGAGCTTCGAGGGGGCAAAAATAATTGATGGATTATACGAAGTGGTTATCGCCAACGTTGGTTAACTATTTCTTACCTGCTGCCGACGAAATCAGTTGAAACAGTGCTGCAAAGATCTTTATCCATGTAAACGTTGTCATTCTTGTTTGAGGCTTCAGCTGGTGAGGATATTTTTGGTTCAATGAATCTAAACACAATCTGAAAGTTGAGAAAGTAACGAAATCACGTTAAAAAGATAAAGATTATCAAGTACTGGGAACTTGGAAAAGATGATAATAATCTATGAATACTTCAAGCCCTTGGTTCAGGAAAATGAAACTTCTCTTATACCGTTTACTGACCGCAGTTTTCTTTATCCTACTACGCTTTATCAAGCAGATATTTTACTGAAATTGTAGAGTAAAAATAGTTATGGAAAATCGTGTTGCTGGTATACTTTAGTAAACTCTTCAAAACAAAGATACTCAAAGATAACCATAGGAAGGTCTACTTTAAGAAATTGGACCAAAAGTCCGAGAGTTCTCGCAGGTAAAGGATTGACCTGTCATAGTGTATGAAACGCAACCCCCCTAAGACAACATTCTGGAAATCTCGAGGTTCATCAAAGGTTGACAAATATGAAATTTTCGTTACGCTCGCCAGATTCGACATCAAAAGCTATGATGTACTCACAATGTTATTATGGAAAATAAAGTCCGTGGTAAGTCGCATGAGTTTTGATGAGTTCGATAACGCTATAAGTTCTGCGAGACTCAACGCATGCTTGAGCCTAAGAATCGTACAGCGGATAACTTTGAAAAGTAATAGAGGATACTGAAAAAGAAAGCAAACTCCACAGCGCAAACCAAGATAAACAAATTTCGATGTCTTCCAGTCGCTAAAAAATACTTACGTTCGAGAAAGGCAGCTTTTACTTCAACAAAGCGTTGTTGCTATTGCCAGCTCGAAGAAAATTAAATTGAAACTGAAACAGCAGTGAGTGTCTGGAAAGGTCTATGTTCTTTTCGAGTTGAATGCAATAGCATTCTAGCAACTTGGTGAAAAGTTCCTCATACTTTGTAGCCATGCATCACAGTGACACGTTAAGAGACACGTTCGTCAATTGTTGCGTCACAACACTTCAGGTTTTCTATTAAGGTTAATTTCGTCACTGAAGAAGTCGTTTCCATCATATCCCTTATAATAGACATCGCAAAGAGCTAAACAATTTATGGACTTAATAAAACTTACACCCAGCGTTTGAAACAGTCCATTGGTTTAATGATCCAAAATTGATCATTTTTTCGATGATTTTCGATAATAATAATAATAATAATAATACTAATAATAATAATAATAACGATGATGATAATAACGATGATGATGAAGGACTCTACCCCATCTAGTCATCATTGCTCACGCCAACATTTGTTTATCCCTTTATCTTCCGGAAGTGATTAACTTGTAACTTCTCCTTATGATAACCACACTACATGCAGCAAACAGGTAATGAGAATATTCAAACTTATCAGGTAGAAGTTGTTGTCTTGATCCAACACCAAATTCTCGTAACTGATTCACAAGGGAATGTGTAGCGGCTCGAGGGGAGAAATGACAAGTAATTTAGGAACTCAGCCGCTGTGCTGTGGCTCTTTGCGGCTGATGACGGTACAGTCAGTAGATCACATTGATGAGTCTAGAGCAAGATATTACGCCAGGAATGAAGCGGGAAGAAACGAGAACGAACCGAGTTTCGGTCAAATACTTTCGGGGTTCTAAACACCCTCACTTTCGAAATGAGGTCTAGTGCAAAACCTTTAAAAAAATCCTTTCGGACTTATCTCCGGACACATGATCTTGAATATGCCCTCATAAAAATAGCACAATCTATCATAAACGCTGAAATCTGATCGGGTATCTTAGTCGCTAGCTATTCTGTGATAGATTGCTGAGGAGTAAGGTATGTGGCCTTAGGATGTAGCGGTTGGAAGTAAAATGAAATATAAACATGCATAAGCATATCTTGTAGTCAAGTTTTAAACCACCGGTGTAGATAATTACTAACAGAATTAGATCATTTGCTTTCGATTTTTATGCTTGAAAATTGACTCGGGATTCGTTCTAATCATCTATCAAGCGATTGCAATTTCGATTTCATAATCTAATTGTCGCGTAATTATTTCGATTTACGCTGAAATTTTTTGTCAATAAACTTTTAAAATGTGCACGCAAATTTTGAATCGGAAGTTACTTGAAAATTGTCTTGTCTTGTTCACATCTTTTTTTTAAATGGACCATCGTGATCAGACTCCGGTTGTTCGAAAGATGGATAACGCTATCCACTGGATAAATCTCTATCCTTTGGATAGCACAATATGTTTTGTTAACACTTGTCCGCTGCATAGCGATTTATCAGGTGGATAGCGTTGTCCGCCCTTTGAGCAACTGGGCCAGGGCATTTAAGTCAAACTCTTCTTTGATACTATTTCTCAAGAGTGTGTGGCTTGGAATTTTTTAGGAACTGTTTCAAGTGCAATAAATAACACTTTATTGTCGTGATTACTAATTCATTTTGCGAAAGAATGTTTGGTTGTGCTTCAATAAATCTTCTGAATTCTTGTCATTGTTTTGTTTTCATCATGAAATACGGTTTAATTATAACAAGGCTTGTTCCTATTTTAGTCGCCTTTGACTGAAATATAAAACTTGAGTTCAGTTTTTTAGGCACTCTTGATTTGTAAAAAAAAAATTTAACATACGTGCAAGTTGATTTTCACTATCACAATAAACCGCATATGGTTCACTGCTCTTTGAATTTTAAAAAGGAAAAACTACGTAAATAAGCTAGCGGTTTTCTGGAATATACTTTGCCCTTTTAAAGTCATATATTTTAGTTTGAAGATTGGAAGATGTAAGACCATTTATTGCACAATTTGAGGATTAAAAATTGAACAGACGTGCTCTATTTGAACAATTCTACTCCACATTTGGTTGCCTAATATGTTTCTGCATATCAGAGCTTGGAAACAGCACCCTAACTGGGTAGAGAAGACACGCAACAAAGGCTAAAATCATGCTACTGAAACCTTTAATGTTAGAATAATTTCTTTCTATGACAAAAGTTATTTCTGATTTCTAATTCGTTTGACAGAAAAAGATATGGTTTTCGCAACATGATGTTAAGACCTGGGTCGATTTCACGCGATTATGGCTGAAGTTTGGGATTTGCATCACAATATATCTTATAGCATGTAAGTTTTGTCAGCATTCACTCGCATTTAGCGTAATAACGCTTGCACCGTTTCCTCAACGCACCGAAACCAGAGCAAAAAATCACTCACCTTTTCGTCCAAGTCAGAATCAAAGACTCACAGCTAATAATTTCAAACAAGTGACCATGTTAAACAGCAAACTGGCAGCGGACTCAGTAGAAAAGTTCCAATCTAGTTGTTCATGAAAACCAAGCGCCTAAATTAGCCAATTACGTACGTAATGTGACGATCGGAGCTGGTTTCCTTCCGAGACTTTTTTGTAATCAAACGCCTCGAAACTTCGATGAGAAGAATGTTTATGACTGTTAAAAATATTTTCACCCTGAGGGCTGTAAACCGCTGAGTATTTGACGCAATTAAGTTGTTGTTAAAGACCGGCTTTTTGTTTACCGGTGATGTTGATAAGGCCGCGATTCACTTGCTGTGTAAAATATGGACGGTCTACTGCGAAGCAGACGCAAATTTTCTTTCAGGACAGTTTTGATTTTATGTATTTTCTCTTAGTCGTTGTTACGAAATATTTCATTATTTCCTAAGAATAAAATAAACCAGTGGGGTGTTAATAATCATCTCCGTTACGCACAACAAGTAAAAAGGCTATAGCAACAGATTCGCTTCAATTCTTAACTGAGTAAACTTGTAGGTACGTGTAGCGTCCAAATTGTGATCAATGAACTACCCTCGGTATTTGTGAAGTTTCATTCATTTGGGGACGTCATAGTGAAAGCAACGAATCAGCGAAAACAGGTAGAAGAACCACTTTACCGAAAGCTTTACGGCTTATTTTTTGCATCTCCGCAGCTGGAAACTTTACTGATACCGTCAGCTACTCAAGCTATGAATTTGTGCTTGAAGCCGCCAACATCTCAACATGTTCAGTAATTGGCTGGTATAAACTGCACAGCCGGATATTTAGGACAGATTTTAGAAATGTGTTTACATATTTTTAGTTTTGGTCTTTTGCGTATTTGTTTGTTATTGTTTTGCCAATAAGGCCGGAACAGTCAGAATGTAGAATATTCTTTGGTAATGTCAAGGTCATGCGACTCGTCAAAGTTTAAATACTCTTGCTAGAAATATAGGTAATTAAAATGTCTACCGTTTTTTTGAGTTTAAATTGTACGGAACTAAATTCATTCATTAACCCTTTAACACGATACTTCTCCCTATAATAGCCTTACATTATGCAGCAAAGGGCAAATGAGAATACCAAACTTATCAGTTAGAAGTTGTCATCTTTATCTGACACCAAATTCTCCTAACGTATTTACAAGGAATCGTATAAAAGCTGGGGGAGAGAATTAACAATCAGATCTTGAGAGTTAAAGGGTTAAAGACATGAAAAGACAAACATTTTAGTTAAACCCTTTATTTCCCATGTGTGACCAAGACAGAATTTCTCCATACAATATCAATACAAAAAGTGATAAGAATTCAGAGAAATATCAACAGGGAGTTATTAGTTGATTTAATACCAAATTCTCCAAACTAACATTATAAGAATTGTGTAGCCGACAGTAAGGAGAATTACTAATGAGATCTTGGAGTGAAAGGGTTCATTAACTTCAAGTGAGGGGTGACTTAGATTAAAACGTGGTATTTATCATAAACCAATTACACTGCAGTATGAATTTTTAAATTTTTTGTTGCTTCCCACAATTCCCTTCTTTCATCAAAGCAGAAGGCAAGATTAAGTCTAAACTCGAGCCAAGTGGCCCATAAGGCACTAGGACTTATTCCAGACTCCGAAGCATAAAAGCATAAGGTATTACTTCTCTATCAATCTCCCAGGGAAAGATGCCAGAATGCTTGTCCATAGCAGGTTTTCCCCTTATGTTTTTCAGGCTTCCCGCCTCGCCGGCTGTACTCATTTATACTCCTTGGTAAAGAGAGGCGCAGTTACAGGGAAGTTTAGGGTACCTCGTCTTTCTCTAAAAACGCAAATTCGACTTTTTAAGAAATGTATTTCAGAGGCCAACGTTTTGAATTCACCTTCTGAGTCTGCGGTCTAATTGGATTATTTGGGTCACATTAAGAGAGCGAAGCCAATGAAAATTCTTTCCAGTGTTTTGCTTTTATTTTTCTGTAATATTTCATTTTTTTTTCACGCTAGTAAAGGCAGTTACTGAGGTTAACATGTGAAGGTTTTTAAAGGAGGCTCAACGCATGCGTCAAAGCTTAATTTCTCCGCCCTGTATAATTAAAAAATAACGAGTGCGCTCCTCGTGTAGTCTCATATGGTGTTGGTGTCCAATCGCTTTTGAGGAGCTTCCTTAAACCTCAAGCAAAAAGAACTGTTTCAAATTAAGAATAACTTTTCTAAGGTCAAAAATTAGATTCAATATCTTTTCGTGACTTTCATGGATGTTTTTAACCACAACTTGAGCTGAAATCAATCATAAATTCCAAAGAAAACAAAAGGGCTTCGTGAAATAACTGACCCCAAGCGAATATCTGGCTTGCCATTGATTTACGACTTTTATGCTTGAATGCAACTCTCTGTGGGTTTATTGTTTGAGATGATGGGCAAGACAAAAGCGTATAAATGACGTCTACAAATAACTTACATGCAATAAAGATATCTGTCGGTACACATTCACCTGCTGGGAAAAGAATCTGATGAACGGAGTACCGCTGGCGTGACTACCACTATTCATTTAACGAGATATTTGAAGGTACTGCAAGGAAGTGATTCTAGTTTACGTGTGTTGAAAGAACGCTAGAGCCACGGTCCAAAAGAATGTTAAGAATTGAATGATTGAAAAGCTCAGTCTTTGGTTCAAGTTGAACTCTTTGTCAGACCCTATACGATTGCCATCAGTTACTCAAGCGAGTCTTAGAATTTGACAAATGACTGTCATAATGCTCCACTCGAGACGCAGCGATGTGAATATGTGAAGTGGGTTGTTTTGTTAGCTGCGTAGTAGTCGGAAAAAACTAAGTGAAGACTGCGCAGAAACCCTGCAAACGATCTGTATGTAAAAGGATCTAATCACTTTCATTGCACATTCCATACCACTCAATTTACGAAGAGCTCCAATATGATCTTTGAAGTATCTCTATTTTCATGGAAACAGTGTTCCACTAACGTTCATACGTAGGTGATCAAGATCGAGGAGATACCGCAAAGCTGGATAACCATGAATACAACTTTACACCTGGGTTCTCTGGCAAATATTTCAACTGTCGCACTTCCAGAACTAGCCAGTCCGACTTCCGCGTGGTTTTCTGAAAATGGCAAGTTTATTACGACTGCTGAGTTTGTCGTAAGTGTACTGTTTTACTGCTGCGTGTTCCTCGCAATCCTTGTGGGAAACGTGCTAGTAATTTTAGCCTACGAGAGGAACTGGAGACTTCAAACTACCACAAACACTTTCATAATTGGTCTAGCTGTGTCGGATCTATTGGTTGGGTTCGTCTCAATCCCCTTTTGGTTGTATGTCTACAGCTGCCATTACTTGGACGTTACACTACATCCCGTTGGATACGAAATGTACATCACATTCGACGTGTTCATCGGATGTGCGTCGATCTTTCAACTTACTGCCATCAGTATAGAGAGATGCATCGCCATCGTCTGGCCGATCAGACACCGAGCCCTTCGCGAAGGGATCTTTCATGCGATGATTCTTGCCGCGTGGGGTTGTTCTGCGGTCATGGCTGGATTGTACCCGGTCCAATTGAAGCATTGGGAAGGGGGCTACACGGCATTTATCTTCTCTACTTGCTTCATTGGACCATTAATCGTCATGTCTGTAGTTTATTTCTTAATCTATGAGACAGCAAGGGACTCGAGGTCCAGGGTACACGCCGCAAGAGCAGCCCCCACAATACACAGAGAAATTCGTGTTGCGGGAACAGTGGCGCTTGTTACTGGAGTATTTATGATCGCGTGGTTCCCATTCTTTGTCGTCACTGTGGTTGCTACATACGATTTGGAGCGCTTACCCGAACCACCTGGACTCTTCCGACTTATAGCCTTCGTCAAGGCCTTGCATTACATAAACTCGGCTCTAAATCCAATCCTGTATGGCTGCCGGAATCCAGAGATGAGGAAGACTATGCTCAATGTAGTGCGCCAATGCTATCCGCTCAGATCTCGTGAGCAGAGGTATCCATCTAGGCTGCAGGCGATGCTAGATCCTCGACGTACACGAGAGTTCTTACCCGGTACCTCGTTGGCAGTTCAGTGGCCTGACGAAAGACGAAGCACACCGATCATTGGCAACAACACTACTACAACGGTGGTTTCATTCGTTAATCGAGATGGGTATGTGGAGTCAAGGCCAACAAGCGTACATCAATAAATTTTATTATTGATCACTTTTTAATGCAATGCTCTCTCATGAAAATATATTTTTTAGATGAACTTGCATTCGTTGGTGCCGATTAGCTGACGATGCTGAAGAATCCCCCAAAAAAATTTTATGCAGTGTTAGCGTGACAGTGTGTGAAAATGTAATTAACCCGTGGTAAATCGATAAGTTTAATTTTGTTTAATTCAACGTTAAAATGCAATGGATAAAAAATAAGATAATTACATATTATGTTTGCAGTCAATATGGCAAAACTTTCCTCGCTTGATTTGTATTTTGATCAGAGTTAAAATGATAATTTTAAACTTTTGCCAATAATGTCTTCAAAGGAGCAGGTTCTCATAATCAGCATCCATATGCGCTTGTACATAAATAAAGGACATGAAAGTCACCATCCTAAAAGCGGTTTTAAGAAATAGGGTTTAAGAAAGTAAATCGAGACAACCATATATGCCTCCAGGCTCAGTTCACTTTTTAGTGGGGGGAGGATGGGGGTAGAAGGAGGAAGTGTTCTGATCCCATCTCGCGCACAAATTTTAGAAAAATTAATGCGTCACGTGTACTTTAAACAGTATTTCACGCGTGATGAATTTAAAAAGGGAAAACATCAAATCTCATCTTACCTTGCTCTTCTGAAAAATTAACACATCAAGTATTAATCTCGCGTTACCTATAAACCTTTGTCACCCGGCCTCTAATTATTCTAATTTCTCCGCACCCCCCCCCCCCCCCCCCAGCCGAAAAGACTTGCCTCCCTCATTTGGTGTCTCTTACACAAATGAACTTGTCTTATTTTAAGACCACTGGCCAAGATACACACACTGTAAAAATTCAACATGGCAAAATGGAATAATAACGTGAGGCATATTGAGCAGAGATAACGCGTTTCTGGCGCTTGCTAAGACAGAGTGCTGATTTAACAATCTAGATAAAGCTCGTCACTCGTTACTTATAGGAAAAGAATGGAGAACATAGATGTATTTATCATGGATCCAACTTTTATTGACCTCCTAGTGTATGACCTTTGGTTGCAAGGATTCTCTGGTTAGTAGCTGTCAATAAATCCAAAAGCAATCTATTTGTTATTTGAAAATAAATGAAATCTAATGTTACTCACTTTATTCTTCTATTATTCCACATTATAAGAAAAATAGTTTTCGCTATATCTGGCGGCTTGTATATGTTACCCAATGGCCACAAGTTTAAATCGTTGTCACTAATTCTAATTACTGTTGACTGTTACCATCATAAAATAAAGTCTTTTACTTGCTTACGTATTAAGGGTTTTTTAATTTCGTCTTCAGTGTAACGTTTTTCAATATTTATTATTTTTGTGTGCAAAAAAAGTCCCTGTTCCATTCGCACTGTGACTGATCACCAAATTTTGACCGAAAATGCATTCCAGAAGGCCTTTATCCGATCTTGTTGATGCATTTAACACGATGTATTTGACCCATCTTCGAACAGTACATTGGGTCTACAAACAAATGGGTATTGTTTGGTTTTTAACATTATAGAGAACTGCTTTAAAGTCTTTGGTAAGATTTCTGCACAGCCCCTTGCTAATTGTTTAACAAAGCTAAGGTCACAAAGTTATTCTGTTGTTTTTGCCATTGTTTTCTTTATCCAAGAACTGTATGGATAATGAAGTATGGGGTTGTATGGTATTCTTTCAGCAGAGTCCTCTTCATGAAAACCAAATAAATACATATTTTTCTCTCCCATTAGAAAATGAAGCAGCACAGAGGAGAAAATGCGATGAGAAATTCAAGAATTTTGGGGCATCTCATGCCATCATCACAAGCGACACTCAGGATCAGTTTCGACTGTTCTACATGCTGGAACGTTTTCTTCAATCTCCTCCAATGCTTGCCAAGCAAATGTTATTGCAAATATCTCCAGATGTTCAAGATATATTAATTGAAAGGCATGTAACACCTGTTTTTTGTTGATAGATATTCAACTTTCTTGATCTGAATGATCAAATATTACATTCATCTTTTCAGGGGGTATACACATTTCTCTTGTTAACTAGCACAGAGAATTGAGGTTTTTATCAGGTATTTATTTTTATAGGGGTTTCAATAGCAACAGCTTTTGATGCACTGGATACTCCTTTGTAGTCTGACTTGAGATATCATTATACATGTTTATTGTTAACAGGTATTATCAGTTTGACAAGGAGGTAGTAAGGGAACTCTTAGGAAAAAAACTCACTGGACGCGTGCGCAAAGACTTGGACGATGTCAGTGAGAAGACAAATATCCCCTTGAAGAGTTGTCGCCGACAGGTGAGTTGTTGACACAACTTTTTTGTGTAAACTTAATGTGAAATAATTAAATTACATTCACCATGGATCTTAACTTTGATATGTACTGATGATGATGAGGGAAAAGTATGCAATGTTGGCCGCATTGTAAAGTGGTCTAAGGCTCTGATTTTATTTTTAATCTGCAAATGCCAAGGACTTAAGTCTTCCTCTCTGATAGCTAAAATTCTGCAAGCCAAGTTTCTTACATATAGCCAGACCTTATCATGGTTTCTGTACCATAAATCAACTAGAAGTATTGGTACCCCTTCGATCCCTCTCTCCCACCCTTGATGAGAAGCTGGCCCAATCACATGTTGCCCCCAGTAATTTCATTAGCTTTCCCAGACAGTTCAATGGTACCCATTAACACTCCTGTGTTGTCAGAGGCATTGTGAGTATAAATTGTCATGTCCAAGAGCATAGCACAATGACCCTGCTATGTCTTGAATCTAGACCTGTTGACCAGCAGTCAAGCATGTTAACTGTCAAGCCTCTGTTTCTCCACTGGTGCATACGTGAATGCCTTGTTCTTCACATTTGGAACTTCAACCCATTTGCTAAGCTATATTAAAAAGCCAAATGGCTTACAGTTACCAACTGGTATTTTTTCAAATTTACGTCTACTACTTACTCTAATTGTTTATTTGATGTCATCAAATGGGAAGATAGGCCAATGCATGTGGATCTGTATGGAATTATTTGATTATTTTTCTAACTTATCTTTTTAAATTGTCCTTATTTTATATTAAAGTTCACACAGCAACCAAGTGGACAATCAGACATGGTTTGATGCTACTCTGGTTGGTAAAGGGTGATAAAGGCACTAGACAGGGGTGTCGAAACACTGGGTCTATGAATTGTAACTTCTTTGGTTACATTCATTAAATCTGTAAACCAGAGTAGCATCAAACCATGTCTGATTGTCCTTATTTATTACTAATCTGATTCATGTATGTGTATTTTCTAGTTTGACAATGTCAAAAATGTACTCAGAGCAATTGAAGAGACTGAAGGAGGAGGCCTTACAGACACTGTAAAGAAATTGTTTCTTCTTTCAGATTCATTGGCAAGGTAAATGTAAAACAATTACACACTCAGGTAAATACGCAATGATTATAAAAATTACAGTATTATATTGCAACAAATGATGTTGCTGGGCATGTCCATCCCCCAATTCCTGTGTACTTTATACAGTAGGATGAATTACACTTACACAAGCATTTTCATTGGTTGTTATTTATGATCTTTCAGAAGACAGATACATTGATCACATCACCATAAACAAATTTTTTCCTTTTCATCTTGTACAGCAAATAGATTCCTTGTTGCCGTAGGTGTGTACAGTCATTGTAACAAATCACAGATGATGTCATAATGTGCCCAAAACTTGACTGCACCTTGTGAGCAACTTTTTTGTTCTTACCACATTTTAATGTCATCTGTTATTACTGAACAGACATACAGACACATGGAATCTACCATTTGTTAAATATACACAATTTTACTGTATAATGTATATATTCCTGCAGCCAGAGAATATCTGGACGAACAAACTTTTCCATTCCTGTGGGATGTTGCTGTTTAAGGTTTACGTCTTTACAAGGGCTTATATTTTTCAGCCTCAATTGACAAAAGGCAATGCTCAACTGCTCTGTAATCTTAATTTGCCTGTGTTTTCTTTATTGAAGGAAAATTTCTCAGTAGAGAAAACCTTTTTTGCCCTCAAGGGTTTCCCTTTGGTTTGAGATTCTTTCAAATGTGCATAATTTTACAAATGGGTCATTTAACTGTCTTTACTTTCATCTTTTAACAGACAATATGCTTGTATCTGCTTCATGGCTATCAACAAATTTGAAACAGGAAAGAAAAGGTTGGTGTACTGGAATGACATGTCAAGTGACAACTTAAGGTGGTGAAGATTGAATTCAAAACTCCATGGAATACAACATTATTATTATGATTGTTGGATTGTTGTAATTTAAAAATCTTCTTTCCTGCTAATGTACAGATTGTCATAAAATAAAAATTTTGGGCACAGGTAAGAAACAATGTTATTTATCCTTTTAACTCCCAGAAGTGACGAACATGTAACTCCTCCTTATAATATCCTTGCATTTTCTAACAAATAGTTAACAAGAATACTAAAACTTATAGGGAGCCACAACTGTCTGAGAGGAACAGGTGCACTCTGATATATGAAGAGATTTCTTCTTACTTGACAGGCTCTCCTACCTTTCATTTGATGACCTTGTGTTCTGTGCAGAGCAGATGTTAGATCACTGGACAGTTGGATCAGTAGAAGGCTCCACTGGTCAGTGTCTTTGAAAATTGCTGACAAAAATTTTTGTTAACTTTAATTCTTTCAAATGGATTAAATATCAGTTGATAATTTATGAAAGATAGAGGTGAACTTTGTCAACACTAACCTTTTTTTTGACCCTTGAACTCTCATGGGTGACCAAGATAGAATTTCTCCTTACAAAATCATTACAGTGTCAATCAGACAGGTAATGAGAATAAAGAAAAATATCAATTGGGGCATTATTAGTTGATCCAATATCAAATTCTCCAAACTAACACGGTAAGAATTGTGTGGCTGGCAGTAAGGAGAATTATAAATGAAATCTTAGGAGTAAAAGGGTTTACTGTAGGATTATGAGAGACCCAGGGCCAAAAATTAGATTTTTTATTTCCTCTTACCTTTTGCTTTTTGTGTGTGCTTTTTATCTATTTTCTTCATTCTTTTCATTATTTAGTTATTTTTATTTATTTGTTTACTCACACTTTTTCATTAGAATTGTGCTATTTGCTAGAAAACCCTTTTAAACAAGAAAAAATTTAAAAAAGTAACAGCTAATAACAATTTAATTATTTTTATTCAATTATTTATTTACCTGCCTTTTTTCAATGAAATTGTACTACTTACTAGAAAACTCCCCAAAACAATAAAAAAGTAACTGTGATAGAAGAATAAATAAAAAGAAACAAATGGAAAGTAAAATTGATTTAATAACAACAGAGGTTATTCTCTTTATATGAATATTTTACTGTTGTTGTTTGAGTAAACAGGGCCTTTTTTAGAACATCATTTTAGATAAATCAGTGTCAGTTTAAAGTGCTAATGATGGAATTTGAAAAGCATATTAACCAACCTTGTTTAAGATTTAATGGTTTAATCTATTTTTTTCATTTGACTGCTTTTTATTTCACTTGTGCATTGATATAATGATTCATTTGTCCTGTTTTGTTCCACTGCTTTCTCTCTCATTAACTCACCTACAAGTACTAACAAAGCTTTAGATTAATTTTTAATTTATCACTAACCATTCACAGAATCATGTCTACTACCTTTGTTCAAGGTCGTCATCTGTAAGCATTTTTATACTTTGAAGAATTACAAAATTTTTGTACTTCTTAAGTTCCGCCATTTGCCAGAATTCCTAGAATGTGTGACGACAGTAAACCAGCTTTGATTTAAGTGAATGTAAGACAGGTAGTTTGATTTATTAATCAGATTTTAAGGCATGACTAGTGCTTTTAAGTACTTAAAAACTTTTTTCCTGAATTTTTTACTTTGTATTTTATAACAAGGAGGCAAAAGGATTATGTCTCCTTAGCAATTTCATCCATCTTGGAAACCTCAGAGTTGTGGTAGAATAATTATAAACATGTATTTAACAAAGAGGATGATCATTTAAATGCAAAGTAAAAAATTAATGAGATAAATGTTAATTAAAATTTTTTTCAATACTAACATTGATTTACTTGAGCACAAAACCACTGAAAGCCAAAAACTTTGCTACAATGAGCAGTAATTGCAATCACCAATAAATTTGTTTTGGTTTTTTTTATTTCACCTGAATTTACTTGCTACAAGATTTAATTAGGAAATTAGCGAACAATTTATTTTTGCAAAACTGTACATGCAATTTTTCATTCTTTTCTAATTGATATTGATGCGTTTGTGCCTCCAGTCAGTTATTATCCAGTTACCATTTTGTTGTGCAGGAATTATTGTGCTTTCTAATAAGGTTACTGATTTTACCCTTGAAGTAACTTTTCTGCCACTCATGGCACACATTTCACTGTTTCCCTTGAGCTGAGGTAGGGATATCATTATATGATTTGCTGCCCCCTCACAGGGTGGTGGGTGGGGAGAGGGGAACTAGTGTCATCTTTCAATGTCACTGAGAGAGGATGTGGCTCAAAGGTACCCCACCCTCAACTGATTGGGACATAGTACTCAGGGAGGGGGGGGGGATGAAGGGTTACCTTTTTAATTACTAGCTGTATGAGTGGCTATCATTGGGATGCCAAAACCTCTAACTTAAACATTCATGATTTATTTGTGTTCAGCTGATGTTGGAGATACAGGTGCAGAGTTTGACAGAGGTTTCCTACAGGAGTTGAGAGACCTGAAGGTGTTTGTGAATGATAAAGAGATTGTGGATGAGCACAGAAGGTTTGTATGACAACTTTGTACAAAATTTGCAGTTGCCTTTTTTTTTCAAGAAAGTTGCTTTAAGTCTCACAGGGTAATGGTTTACAAGATGGACCTCAAACAATTCTGACTGCCAGAACTGAAAACTTTACTGTTTTTCTCAGTTTTTGAAATACTGGAACAACATCAGTTTGAGTAGAATTACAAAGGATAAAATTTTTGAAATTTCGTGAATTTCAATAATTTTGTGCACTTAGTTATAATAGGGAAATGTTTTGTTTTTTTCAGCTTGGTTTGCAATGATATAGCGAAGCGGTTTACCAAAAAGTTGGCCAAGTCTGTGGAGAACAATTTCAAGGTACTTTGCTAGATTTCTTTTTAAAGTTTGCATCTCTACAATGGTAAAAATATGTTTTTTTATCAGTGTTGCCATTACTCACCACCACTTTTGAAGTGGCATTTGAGCATCCCTTCGTCATTAGGGATTCAGCTGGAACGTTTCTTCGCCAGCGGCTAAGTATGAGGCCTGGAGCGAACCGAGTCGGCAAGAAGTCTGCTAAGAGTCTGGTAACTAGCGTCGGACCCGAAGCAGACCTCAAAGATTTGTTTTCGATCTTCCCGCGGGCGGAGAGATGCGCGTCCTGCAGCCCTTTGATCAGCTTGCTGATAAACATTTATTCCTTGTGTGGAGAGAGAGGGACATTGTGTGGATAGAGTATCTAGCCTTTGAATACAAGGCCATGATCAGGCCAATTAATAAAAGGGGTTAGTCTCTAAAGAAACGGTGGTGCTGCATTGGTGGAAGAGTACAACAGGGTCATTCAGTATTGTCAACTGAGTTGATAACGTAAATTGGCCACCGTAAAGACTTTCAAAGCTGACGTTTCGAGTGTTAGCCCTTCGTCAGAGCGAATGGCTCCAGGCCAGCATTTAATGACTAATGACTTATGACTAAGCCAGCATTTTAAATGAGGCATCACCATAAGGGTTACATGTAGCGTACAGCATTAAATGAGCCAATGGAAATTCCTAATTTAAATTTATGCACATTTCCTCTTCATTCTCCCAGAATGGGTATTTCAGTGTTGATGAAATCAATTTAACATCACTTGTGATTGCTGCAATCCGATTGGCTTCTAGCAGTGACTTAAGTAGTTAATCACAAAGTAACCAATCAGATTTCAGAATTCTTAATCACATTATTATTTTTTTTTTTTATTTTCGTTTGCTATTGGATCAGTGAACTATCGGCTCTCACCAATATCCTGTTTTTAGGCGACTAAATTGTGCGATTTAAAAAAATAGATTTAGTAATGTGAGAATTGAACTTTTGTTTCGTGCAATTTTTAGTCAGAAATCTCACTTATTAATTCTTCTGATAAACCTCATTACCTGGCTATGTTCAATGCGCATGTCACTTTCTCACTTTTTCTTCATACACACTGTACCTCTCTCTACACTGTATGTATATTTACCTTATATATTTTCTGTCTCTGTTTCTCTATAGAATCTCTGTCGAGGTCTCCTAACTATTGCCGCCGGTCTTATCCACAGTAAAGAAGTCAAGGATGTTTTAAGTGACTTTGTAGAAAAGGTATTGTACAAATAAAATATATTAAAGTTCACACGGCAACCAGGTGGACAATCAGACATGGTTTGATGCTACTCTGGTTTATACAGAGTAGCATCAAACCATGTCAGGTATTGTACAAATTGTAGCCGAAGTTGTGGATTTGACACGACTTTGCGAGACATTTATGACAAGTGCGAACAGCCTTACTGAAAGGAAAATTGTCAAAATCAAACGCATCTAGGTAAATGTAAAGTAAAATCCAATTCATTCCCACGCCGCCAGAGTATATTCCGTAGTGCACCTGGATGTAACGCTAGTCCATCACCAATTACTCCCCCCCCTTCTCCCCTCTTTCCCCTTGAAATTCCGACAAGTTTCCGCGCCTTTTACTGTTGCCAGTTTTGTTAATATTATTAACCTTTCAACTCCCATAAGTGACCAAGACAGAATTTCTCCCGACAATATCAATACAATATCAACCAGATAAGTGATAAGAATGAAGAGATATATCAATTTGGGGATAATAAGTTGTTCCAATACTAAATTCTCTGAACTAACATTATAAGAATTGTATGGTTGACGGTAAGGAGAATTACAAATTTGATCTGGAAGTTAAAGGGTTTATATTCACGCGAGTGACGAGGGACATTGTTGGACTGTTGCGAATTAAATATGTAAAGGAAAAAAATAACAAAAAAACAGTTTGGAATGAAGCTGCGGTGATTTCACGGGCAACTCTTTGTGGACTGTTTTTCCGGATTGAAATTATAAACTGGATTTATTTTTAGTTATGTGTGCGTGTGCGTGTGCGTGTGCGTGTGCGTGTGCGTGTGCGTGTGCGTGTGCGTGCACGTGCACGCTTGAGTGTGGAGGGAGAAAAGGTGTATTAGCAAGGACGAACTAACTACTAACTCAATCCAGCGGTGACGTCAGTTCCAAACCCAGGCCACAGCTCTCATCATGATTCCATGGCTCTGCTCCCCAGAACGTCTTCTTTAGGTTTTTACTGTTTTTTTTAATATATTTTTTGTTTTATTTTTCTTCATGTAGTTCATTGAATCGTGCAAGCAGCAAGAGTGGGATGCGAATGAGACGGACATTTTCCTCGGCTCTTTGGTGGATACCTGCGGCAAATTGGATTCTTTACACAGGTAGGTAAACTATATGAACGCTGAATGTTGAAAAATAAAATATTATCGTTCTCTACACCACAGAAGCTCTCAAGAGAATATCTACTGTACGCGATGAGTGCAGGCGCAAATCGAACGGGCGTTTACCAGAGAGCCTTCTGCGGGATGAAAGACGCGACCATCTTCGGACTTGGTTTCAATCATTTGTGTTACATAAAAGTAACACGCCACCTCAGGCACCTTTTGAGAACGAGGAAAAATGTTTTAAAACATTCCGGGTAAAATTGCAGATCTATGTACAGGGGAACTGTCTCGTGACCAAAGCGACCCTTGAAGTATCCGCGCTACCTTGTCTCTGTGAAAAAGAAAGTAGTCATTCGTCAGAAGGAAACTTTGATGCAAACTCATATGCGTGTATTTTTTTATGTGTGCGTGTGTTGCGCATGCAAAACGTGAGAATTCCACGCTTGTAATGCGCTTGTAATGCTGCGATACACGAGAGCCTTGCTGTAAAAGATAGCTTGGGTAGACAAACACGGAAGGGGTGAGACGAAGCAAAAAGAGAACGAAAATAAATAAGAGTGAAGAGGATATTTAACATGGATTTATATCAATGACATTGATAAATTGGCAAGATTTTGTTTAGACACATACACACTATTTGACAGCTCTCTTGACAATGCTTATTTTTAAGTTATTTGATCGTAATCTTGGCTCTTTACTCTACAGAAGTAACTTGGAACGCTTGATTCCAGTGTATTCACGTTACATGACCGTCTGCCAGAAGTGCATCGTGAGAATGTACCACGACTGAACGAAAACTTCGACATCTCAGAATGCAGCAGGGCAAAATACGTCCAGCTCCTTCCTACGGCTCAAGGAAACCTGACATGCAAGCACTTAAAAATGGAACTGCGAGGACAGAGTGAAGGAGGAATGAATTCTGAATGAAGAGAGGCACAACTGCTGTGCCTAATGGGAGACATGTTTTGATTGAATAATAGTCAACTTCCTGTCACAAATTCAGCCATTACAGCCAGGAAGAAATCTTCGGGATTTTAACCGAAAAACCCGGCATCCATAGCAATTTATGGTCATGATGAGATCCGCTCCTGAATAAGTTGCAGCCAATTAGAGAAGTGCTTAGAAAGAGGTGTAGTGCCCAGATGTAGTTCGGGGGCTCAGATTTTAGTCGTGATTTCCAACCGCTGACCGGGAAATAAGCCCAGACTCCTCCCTTAAAAAGAGGGGATTCTTTTCGAGTGGATTGAAGAAAAGAAACGGCGAAGATAGAGCCTAGTGGATACAGTCAGACTAGACTACGAGAAAGAAGTCCCTCCCTTTTGACGAGGTCTGTCACGCGAGTCCAAATAATCAGCGGCAGACTCGCGCGACTGACTTCTCCGAAAAGGGGAGACTGTTGTTAGTCTCAAACCGGACTAAGAGATCAAGCAATAATAAGTGATCTCTTACCCCGTTTATTTGTTTAGTTTTGTCCTCAAGTTAGGTTACAATTTCAAGGACATGAAGGGAGGACATGTATCCTAATTTTCGATTTGTCGCTCGCTACCGAAGCCCGCTATCCCACCTAGTTTATACTGAGGAGTAATGAGTTATATATTAAGGATCACGGCTAACTAAAAATAAAATGATTAGAAGTGAAACAACTCGTTGCAAAAAAAATGGCTGTGCTCAAGCCTGCGATTAGACTCTTATCAACGTTATTTGCATGCTTCCCTGGTTTGTGAAAGTCGACGCCAGACCCCTCGCGGACATACCACAGTCCGCGGACGCACTCTACTTACAAAGTCTAAGAGATTTTTGCACAGCAGCACTAATAGGAGTCGTCTCGCAAGCTAACAATGTTTTCTATTTCGGTGTAGAGATACCAGCGAAGGGAGCTTTAACATGTTGCAGGCTCCCCACCCCTCAATTGATCAACGGGGTGAACTGAAACTGGGAAATTTTCGCTCAGACTCATGCCACATACTTTTCCTTTAATTTGTGCTTGACTTGTAAGCATTTGGTAGCCTGCGTACACACGTTCGATACACTCGGTCACATATTTCAAGCACACTACTTAACCGCAGACAAGTGGCAATCACCAGTTAAAAATAGATTGATGGAAAAACCAGATAACTCAGATTTTGATATTATGGGAACAATGTCAAGCGCTCAAGATGAGAGGCACAAAACGAAAGCAATGAATAGGTTAGTCGTTATTTAGTGATTTTATTTTCCCTTTTACTAAAATTGTTGTTGCTCCTCAAGGAAACCGCTGGAGTAAACCTTTCACTACCGTCTCGCATCACGACTCGATTGAAATTAAGACGGCTTTTATCCATTAAGAAGTGCACCTGACAGTACGTTCGAATCACGCGAGCAAAACCTTGAATGTTGTGCATGTTGATGTAAATAATGCTAAGAAAAAAGGTGAAGATAAAACTAGCTATGTGGAGTGAAGCTGTGTTCTTTTACACGTCATAAATACGACGAAATTTCGGGATTCCCCGAAAAACTGACGTAGCGTGACAAACCGTGCACTCAACCGCAGCAAATTTAAGAAACAACAGCGAGGACACGTTCATTTTAAAGTTCCTTTACGCTAATGCGATGAGTCTTAGAAACACCGCAGCATCAAACCAAGGTAAGATGAGCATTAAAATCATTTGATAGTCATTCCTAGGAATTTCAATTTGCGATCGACATGTTCAAACTGAGTATACTAAAGGAAAGGAATGGCTCGTTGCATGCATATGAAGCTTTTGCTTTTTCACTCTTGAGCGCTTTAGATCCTTAGAACTCTACTATTGTTATGCTGTATCGCTTTACGTCGGAGTAAACTTGAGAGAATGGGGATTTATCTAAGGTTGAATTTTCTGTACTGCAATCGTAATCTCGCAATGGTATATTCAGTTCTTCATAACTCATTATCCTTGAGATTTAGTTATGTTTCCGGTAGGTATGAGGGAAGAAAGAAAAGATATTTACCGATGGCTAGCGGCTCGCAATCTACCTATTTCAGATTCATGTCTAAGAACAACACCTTTGCCTATCAACCATAATTTCGATGCGTCGGTTTAGCTGAAATAGACAGAAAGCAGGAATTCAATCGAAAGACGGAATCACAGCGGAAGTTGAGAAGAATTTCAATCGAGTGATCTTCTGTCACGGGATTAAAATTCTTTCTTTGTTGCGCGTTTTTTGTCACGCGATCCTGCAGTCGTTACGCACTCATCACTTTTATCGCCTGTTGTCCCATTTCAAGTAATTTAAGGTAAGCATTTCTTGACTTTAATTTTCCAGGGGCCAATGATGGTGAGGATGAAGTCGATGCCATCTTTAGGTAGGTTTTTCCTTATGGTCTACGATGTAACATTTTTTTTTCGCGAAAAAACCGAATCGGATTTTTATCTCTAGCCTGCGTAACACTCCTCTCCGTTTTCTTTTAGCTAGGCGTTAGCTAAGCGGAAAGCATGCACGCGACGGCATGCCGCTTTGGGAGCAAATAGCTCATAGATTACGTTGTAGGGACGAAGACTTCCCAAGAATACTCTCTCTCTCACAAAGCAAATTGTCTGCAGCGATTTTTGTCGCAGTAGACCATTTTTCATCAGAGCAAGGAGCTGCGGTTGTACTCGCTATGTCTGGACCAGACATTTTGATTTTTTGTCTTTTAGACACAGCAAACAACGCTTCCATGAGGCACACTTGGGGATCCTCGATGCACTGCGAGAATTGGTCATCTCATCAACGCGCAAAGCAGAAGAGGAGGAAGCCCTGTTCAATGGAGAGTTACAGAGCAGCCGTTTTCTCTACGAAGGGAATAAAGCTCGCAAGTTCGTGGGAAAGATATTCCTGCAGAACGGAAATCAAGGAACGGGTACAATGTTGACCGAAAGGATCCTGCTTACAGCCTCACACGTTTTCAAGAATTGTAAAGAGGGCGAGGTGTCGTTTGAACAAGTCGATCCAAACGCAAGCTTCTACAAGATGTCAGAGGTGAAATTTGCCCTCGAACCGGACACGTGTTTCGTGTCACATCCAGATAGTAGTCTCGACATCGCGTTGACTGCCGTGTCCGAGAGATCGCTTGACGGCGGAACGCCTTTAAGTGAAGTGGGTTACTGCACGAAGATATTACCGTCAATAACAGCAGGCACTCACGTGAATATCATCCAGTATCCTGAAAATAGCAACCAGATGGTGGTGCTGCGAAGCAACCAAATCCTTCACTACGATGAAAGTTTTCTGAAGCTTTTCTCCAAGGACTTTATCGAACACCACCGCTTCGAGACTCGGCGGCGTGCAGTGAAGAAGAGCTCGTGGAAGTGGCCATTTAGCAAGGCACGAGAAAAAGCAGCTGATTCGGATTCCAGTTCGCCATTTCTACACTACAGAGCCGATACCAAGTACGGTTCCTCTGGCGCGCCATGTTTTGACGACATGTGGAATCTGATTGGTTTCCATCACTGCGCACTCTCCGTGGAGCACAAGAATAGGCCAAATATGTTTACTTATGCGGCTAATGAAGGTGTTAGAATTAATGTTGTTACTGAGTGGGCCGATGAGGCACTTGCTAGCTACAACCTTTAAAACGTATTACCGTGAAAAATTTGGGGAGCTATTTGGAGGAAATTAAACTTCACTGGACACTTTCCTAAAACTGCGACTAAACTTGAAATTCTAAATTTAGAAGTTTGGTGATGTCGATTGAAAATTACCCCTTATTATAGAAAACAAACCAACCACCCTTTTATTTGAAAGATGACGTCAGAAAACAACCTGACGTCATTCCGGTGATCCATAAAAGAATACTGTACGCTACTTTTTAAACTGAGATAGAATTAAAACTGTTAAGTTTTATATAAAAAAAATAGCAACTCAGATCACTCTCCCTAGACGGTTGTTGTCAACTTGAGTCAATTATACATCTCTGCTACAGCCAGGCGTGTGGATATGAATTATTAATTAGTCACCGAAATGAACCTTGATAGATCATCATGATTGAGTTAGCTTGTACGATGAATCTCGGTTTTAGTAAAGCTATTGCAGAAAAGAAACTTGAAAAAATTCTGGCTGAGATGAGATTCGAACTCGTGCCTCACAGATCCCAATTGCAAAATTTTGGAGGGTTCTTTTTTCCCGTGGACGAATCTGATCAATTTGTTGGCGGTAATGACGTGATTCAGAAAAGTGTCGAAAAGTCTCTTTTTTACAAAGCATCCTTAGAAAAATAATGTTCAAAGCTACTTCAGTGTGTTTATTTTGCTTATTTGCAAATTTTATACAAAATAATTTTCAAATTATTTGCCAATTATACACGAAATAAATTATATTATGACCTGTGAATGTGAGTCAAATTGATCGATCCTCGAAGGTTTGTGCAATGACAGAAAGTGAATGACTTGAGAACTGTCTTGTCCATGTAGAAATATACATCATATCTCCATGATATGTGAAAAAAGGGAGAAAATGGTTATGTTCACTTGTTCTTGAACACAAAATAATGTACTGCCAACAGTGAAAATGACAGACTTAATGATAACTGACACTCAAGACAAACAATTATGAATAAAACTTTCTCTTTTTTTTATAACCACAAAACAATAACCACATCTTTCACAACAAGTTTAATTGTCTGTGAGCGTTAGACCTTTTTGCTTGGGCTAAGTGCCAAAACAATCAGTTGCAGTGTCAAAACCAAACATCAATCACAACCTGGTCACAAGCGTCTTATTTTCCCGCGCTCTGAGCTGGTCACGTGAAGCTTTTAAGAGTTCTGATTGAACAGTTTTTCTTTCGATTTGTGAATGCGGTGTGTTTCCTTGACTTGTGGTTTCAGGGCCATTCAGCTCTGATTCAACAGTTTTTCTCTCTAGACGTATTTCGATTTGTGAATGCAGTGTGTTTCTTTGACTTGTAGTTTCAGGGCCATTCAGGAAACAGGAATAGTTGTGATCAATTTTACGGAATACAAGCAAGACCGTGTATAAATATCTACCGCGAAAATCAAGTCTGAGTTACATTTACATGTACAGTGTTATCTTGAGGTATTTCTCAGGAACAAGAATACCGATGTTATAAAGTTACACCAATGTGAAAATCAAACTTGACTCTGTTACTGAGCGAGGGATTTTGCTTTCTTAACTTTCTTTGAATGCGTCCAGTCTCAACACCACAGTTTGTCAATCGCTGAACATGTCTAGGAGCCTTTGCAAGCTCCTTCTCACTGCTTTTCTTCGAAATTCCTGCCGTTATGCTTTGCGATGAACTGAGTTCCTCAGGATCCAAATCCATGAGCGTAGCAGAGACCTTCGCAAGAGAGGGCCTCAATGTCAAACAAATCCTTTTGCTTTTGAGTCTTTCTTTTGGACTTTGACTTGATTCGTCATCAATGGTTCTCTTCCTTTTAACACCAAACGTGTTAGTTTTTGAACCAAATGTCTGTAATTTCTCTTTCGCTTTGTTAATCAACTCCTTGATAATATTTGCATCGCGCGGCAGAGGTCGTAAGGGAAAGTACGCGTGCGCAAATGGTTGCATCCGAAGTTGGTTAGTTTTGGTAACGACCGCGTCTTGCCAGTTGTTGTGTGCAGTCCTGGGACCTAGACTGTCGCCGAATACATCGTACAGCTGCTGGTACAGCTGAAAAGGATTCGAAGCGAGACCAGTCGAACTTGACCGGGATCGGGACTTTGCCACGGGGGCTGGGCGCTGAAGTACACTCGCTCCAGCCCACGGAGATAAATTGGTGCGCAGAACTGGGTGCGAGTTGTTGACTTGAAAACCGAGAGAGGTCATTGGAACGCCATGCTGCTTGGATTTCAACAGACAACCTGCGGCTTGCTGCAGGATACAAGGAATATATACATTTAAGAGATGAAGAGCTACATCAGTATCAAAGGCGAATCATTCGAATTGTATATCAAAGGAAGATTGTTTAATGAAGTCCAGCCTCAATCAAGATAATTTGGTCAACTGATTTGATAGTACCAATAACGTAAATTGGCCACCGTTAGGAGTTTCAAAGCTGACATTTCGAGCGTTAGCCCTTCGTCATTCGCTCCGACAAAGGACTAACGCACGAAACGTCAGCTTTGAAACTCTCAACGATGACCAATTTATGTTGCCAAATTATCTTGTTATACTCTCCCACTGACGCAGCACCACAGTTTCTTTAGAAACTTACCCTCTTTACTGAATCAAACCTAGATCTAAACCATACTCAATTTTTCTTCGCTTTTTTTGGCCCCAATATACACCAATGGCTGTTCAAGAAAATACATCTTTTTCTGTTGTATGAGCAAAAAAACGAGCGCCTAGCATACCAAAAGAGCGCCATAAACTTGGTAAGCTTCTTCTTGCAGCAGTGCATTTGATTGGCTGTTGTCGTCTAACACTTGCTGAAGCTGTGTCCAATAGGTTCGGAGGTGTGGTATCACATACTGCTCTAAGGCCTAAAATATACAAGAATAACCTGATTCAGTTTTTTGTTTTCTGGAAGCATCTACGTGTGCCGAAAACAAAATTTCTCGAATCTGATTGGCTAAAACGAAGGAAGAAAGTGATGAAATATTGTCCACAGACAGGGACCTCAAATCACTCGATATAACAAGTATACAAAAGCGCTATTGTTTTCATCTTGGTAGATTTTTGCCAGCCTTCCTAATCAGCAACTTCTCCCTCGTAAATATATGCTCTGTGCTACAAAACTCGACTCGAACCTCGAGCCTCGAAGTTTTCGAGAATCGACGATCGAAGATCGAGCTGGGTATTGTCAACTCACTTTTGCGCGCTACTCTATTGTTTCTGATTAAATATGTTTAGTGATAATTCGCTGGTAAAACACCCTTTTCGTTCAGCCAGACGGGTAACGTTCTTTCAGACGACATCAAATTCACACTTAGGATTATTTCTTTCTACAGTTTCTTATAAACGGTATGTGGCTTACTACTGAAATCGAATAAGAGCAATAAAAATATTGACCTCTGGTCCCAGCTCGGTCAATCCAACTACAGCACCATAATGGGAACAAAATGGCCGCCCGTCATCCAATAACACTTCCTGTAGTGTCATTAAAAGCTGCTGTCTCAAATAATTCACTGGGTTACTGCATTTTCTGTAAAAGAACACACAATCACACTCAATACACAAATAAACCTTTAGGGTGAGCTTTTACCAGAAAGATAAGTGCCTTCTGAAATGTGCTCAAGCAAATGCTGCATTAAATCAAATAAGGATGCATATTGCAATAACCTCAATGCTAACAACTTTATCTTGCATAATGCATATCTACCTGCTAATGCGAGCCAAAATGGAAGCTGCTTCATCCCTCAATCTCCAGTGGTCATTTTTGGGGTTCAGAGATGCAGCCAAAGACTCTAGTAGACAATACATGACTGCTGTCACCAGCTGAATAACCTGTTCACCAAATAAATTTACATGTATTAGTATTAATTAAGTACAGCAGTTGTGTTCCTTTTATACCCAACCCACGAGTTCACTTTGTTGATGAACTCAAAAGAAGTACATTGTACATAAACTCTGATCCATCAAAAATTGCTTAACTTCTTTATAAATTTGATTTAACCAAGCTTAGCTTATGAGCAAGGCCTTAATTTACTTCCACACGCCTGGCAAACCTCTCCCTGACTTGTCTCAACTCTTGCAGCACAATGAGGGCCTGCTTGCACTATAAACCAAACTAAACACATATCTGTGTGTACTCAAGAACTCATAATCATGATGGAATCTGAGCATAGTCCTCACACAATTTTCACACTTATTTATACGCAAATTTCAGATGCAGTTGAAAGACATAAGAAAAGCACTTGAAAAGATATCATATGCATAATTAAGATGTCTTAAATGTTGACCTTACATGTTTGAATGATGAGTGCAAAGTAAAATTTTTTAACCTAATAAATATCATAAATAATTTGCTTACATAAGGCTCAAGGAACAGTGATGAATTGTCAATCAGTGATCTGACCATACTCAACAGCTTACTTAGTTGCGTCAAGTCATGGCTATAGGTCTTCACCTGAAAAATACATTATCACTTCTGTAAGAGACAGAAAATAAACGTTATATGGTGTAGTCTTCGGTGACCGCACGCAAAATATCGCGGGCGCTCTTTCCCACGAAAAGCACATGTTTTGTTATGGAGTTATACTGTCGTTTCGTTAGGACAAGTTTTCCTTTCTATTTAGAAGGCACAATAACTTGTAAGTATGCAGTATTTCGGTTATTCGGTCAATATCATCTTTTTAATAGTCGCGTTGTTGTTATTTCAGCGAATCTTTCTATTTCACGTGCAATTTGTGAATGGAATGAATACAAGTTATGTGCAGATTAGAAACGAACTAGCAAGTGAACAACTGATTAAAGTACAGTTTCAAGTAGCTATGAGTGGACGCTACAACTTCAATCTACAAACTAAAACTCAGCTTTTCTTAAAATTTGTACGACCCAATAAAATGTTTTATCAGAAGAAATTCTGTTAAATTGATTTTTTTGGCTTCCATTTTTGCTAAACAAAATAGGCAAAGGTTTGAAATAACATGATTAGTCCACTGACTTACCCCGGATGCAATAAAGTTCACAAAGTAAGCCAGTAAAGAATAAATCTTTGGATTTGTTTTCAGATCACTCAGAGCCACCTGCCAGAAGAAGAATAGAAAATAATCGCATTCTGTAACAAAACTTTTTCTTTAACTTTGAACTTTTTCAGGTGTGGAACACCACAAATACCTTCCCAACTGAATCACAGCTAAAGTATTCTAAATTCAGATAAATTCTTACTCTGTTGCATTGTTCATCATCACCCAAAATTGCTTTTGTTACTTGCTCATAGTAACTTAAACATGCCTATTGGGAGAAAGCCAGAAACATAGTTTGAAAAATGTCCATTGTAAATGTCTAAACGGGTTCAAAAAGAACTTAGAGCCCTTTAAAGTACCCTGCAAGGCTAACACTGCTACAATACAGCTGCACATCCTGCTAAGGAAGTATGAAACAAGGTGTAACTACCAAAGAGCATTTTGCTCAGTCTCCCTGAGAGTTTTCTGGTGCCTGCAATACTCCTAGACAGAAGATGGCAGCTATAGTCAGAGGTAGCTAAGTATCGAACATGATCTTTCTCCAAATAAGACCAAAATACTACAGAGTCATCATAACACACAAGCTTTTCACATGAATTTCAATCTAGTGTTAAATGGCAGGGGGTGGGGGACTGAGGGGGGGGAGAATGGAATTTCAGGTGCCACTTTTTCATGCTCAAAGATACTGACTTGCAGACTGAGTTTAGAACTGAAAGAAGGGTTTCAAAAAGTTTGTAAGGTTAAAAAATTTACCCTTATAACTTAAATATGCCCAAGTGACTAAGGACATGTATTAGGCCACTATAAAGGTAAGAGAGGTAAAAACAGTTAGCTCTAACAATGGCACTGAACAAAATTTTGTGTATTAAAACTGAAAATATGAAGACAACCACCTGAGATAGGGGACGCTGGACACTGCCTCCATCATTGTTAACTCGTCCTAAATTGACAGATGAAACAACACACATTAAAGATGCAGTCAGAAGCAGGTGTGCTTTTAAAGACAATTCAGCCCATCAGTTTCAACTTACCAACATTTGGCTGAGCATGACTTCCAGTAGGCAGTGCGCCCTCAGCAGACAACCAATTTGCTGACAAAGGAGAATCAAAGCCACAACTTCTTTTAAACATAAGTTTAACGCACAGGCAAGAACACAAAATAGGACTAATCACAAGAAAGTTTGAATCTGTGTAAATTTAAATATGGAGGAATATTTTCTGTTTCCCTAGAAAATAGCCAAGATTCACTATTATACAAAATAGAGAAAATTTTCAACCTTTTAAAACCATGAAACTAATTCAAATGCATTTTTAACAAAGGGTTTTATGTGACGTGTGATTAGCTGTTTAACCCTCACAAATGATTAACATGTAACCTCTCCCTGTAATATCCATACATTATCCAGCAAGCAGGTAATGAGAAAACTCAAACTTATCAGGTGGAAGTTGTTGTCTCTATCTAACTCCAAATTCTTGTAACTAATTTACAAGGAAATGTGTAGCAGCCAGAAAAGAGAATTAACAAACAGATCTTGGGGGCCAACATCTATATGTAGCACTTGAATTCTACAGATAGGGGAGCACAACTAAGGACTTTTTGAACCAGCATGAGATGTTTTTTGCCTTCTGAATTATATTTAACAATATATTTTTTTCTCTCAGTTTTTGAAAACTTTAAGATTTACCTGAAACCTTGTACACAAGAAGAAGGAATTGAATTTTTATCTTTTATAGACGTGATGCATGAGTTTTTCTTAAATTTGTGCATGAAACAAAACCTCTCCTTTGCAACCTTCTGTTGAAAGTTCTGACTGAATTGACTGACTGAGATTTCACCTTTAACACTTCTTTGTCCAGGGTCAGTGGGTATAACCACATTCATTGCCAGCTCTCGTAGGCTTATCTCCTTATCTTCAACAAAGAAAATGTCCCCATCCTTAGTTGGTGCGTTTCGAAACAACACGTCATCCATAGATCCATAACCATAAATTGGCTGGCCAGACAAATACATGCAAAACAAGTCAGTTAAATAAATTAAAATGTCATGTGAAAATGTTCAGGGAGATGATATCAACATTACAGCCTGTTTCTCCCCGTTCTTGCATGTACATGTACAAAATATTGACACACTGTAAGGGCAAAGAACTTCTCACAATTATTTCTTGAAAGAGGTGTTCATGCGCATGCCATTTCTTCAAATAATGACCTTAATTCAGGCCAAAACATGCCATTTTCCACACCTGTGTCAGGGGTTTCAACAACTTTTTTCCATAAGTTGCTGCTGACAGTATAATAATGGGTACACCTGGTAAGGTGCTGTAAAGCAAAACCGAAAAAGGAGAGCCCACTTTCAAGCTAAACAGACTGCAGTAAGCAAAGTTTTCATAAATACGTCCAGTCATACTGTACGCTCCAAAAGTTTCTTTGAGACACATACCCTCTTTTAAGATTACACTGGTCATAATCTAGTCCTGTTTCAAGACCAAAACACCTCAAAAAGCGTACCCTTTGTGCTTGGAACAAACGTTTATCGCTTGCATAGGGGGAGGACCGTCTCCCCTGCTTCCCTCCCCCCTCCCCACCTTCACTGCGCCTTTCAAGACATCCAAACTCTCTCGTATGCCTTATTAGAGGTTCGAAGATCTTCCTTAACACGTGGGCGAGATTAAAACTATCACATCATGATCTCTCATACAGAGTCGAGTTTGATCGACAGATGTGAGATTAAATTCCATGTTTTACCTCTGTGCTACTTCTTTCTAATGCTTTGTTGAAGTCTTCGCTTGAGAGCCTTCTCCGCTTAGCATGCTTCATAAACTGTGAGGCACTCTGTAAAATTTAAATAAAATGTTCAGCTGATTAAACTGATACTTCCTTTACGATCATAATAGTAAACGAGTTAATGGAAGAAGTAAGCGTGTTCATTTAAACCTGCAGCGTTTCGCGAAGTCTGTAGGTCACATCTTCAGCCAAGGAACTGGCAAGATCGTCTGTCAAAGTCTGAACGCCGCAAATTTCCGCGTACAATTTCACCGACTTCGGCGAAACAATGGAAAATTTCGAGTCTTCCGTCATGGCTCAGACTTTTAACTGCATCTATCTGTAATATGTCATCGCAACTACATGGAACAGGTGTTGAAATGTTGTGAATCGAATGATCACAACTGAGGTCTAACTAAGAACGCCATGTTGCAAGTATTTGGTCTAGAGAGATTGGGTTCTAGCTCAGGACTACCAGCCTATTCGGATGAGTAAAACAAACAAATAAACGAATCAACATTTATAAAAATAATAATAATAATAATAATGAAAAAAAAATAAGTGAGAGGATGATTAGGAGAAGATAAATATAAGTAGATATAGAAACAGCCAGATTATAGTATGTGAGTAAATCATGAGCGAGAGTTTTTTTGGCGTTAATCAACATCACGTTGAAAAATAAACAAACAGTTATGGACTTCGGACAGAAAATGATACTTTTTTGATACTTGGTTGCCCTGTTGTCTTACTCTATCTCAAAACTTTCAGAATTCAAGGGGATGGATCTTAGCTTGAATTTTATCATTCAAATAATTTCAAAAGTATCCGTGTTTTTTTCTTTTCTATTTCTTTTTTGTTTTAGCATAACCCATTCTCAACATCACAAGATTATCTTATGACTTTCAGGCCACAGTGTTACCCGTTTGGATCCTGAATGATCCCTCAAGGACACTACAAAGAAATACCGTCTGAATAACTAACAATCCCTAATTTTCTTCTTTTGGTTTAAGCCAGTGAAGCATGGGAACCTCAAGGTGTATTAAAAAGATTTGATTTGATATCTCACAGTGAAGTCCAAGGTAGATTTAGGGACCTTTGTGATACGCACACGGTCGATAAACCGTCCTGTCTAACTTTACATGTGACTTTTATTAGACGAAAAAAAAGGTACTTTTCGACCTGCTGATTGATTGCGGGCGCAGGCGTGACTGACTCGAATAATCACACATTACTTTCGTCAGAGTATTTCTGTTAGTCATTGATGGAGTGGCTATGTTTTGGGGCTTCATCCTGAAGGTAAACAATCCTAGTGAGCTCTATATTTCTAGGGTTTAAATTTGAATTGCTCTCTTCCCTTCCGTGCAATACATTCGTTAATTTTTTGTTTGTACTCTTCTGGTTGTACCTCTCTCGCTGGAAGTCAAGTGTGACGTGAGTGTGCAGAAAAGAAACAGGCAAATAGCGAGTATTAATTCTTTAGTTTCTTAGTTAATATTTCTTGATCGCGTTTCTCCGACAGAGGATGATCTCCTTTTGATCAAAGATTTTCTCAGTAGGAATTCGATCCCACAGGTTAGTAATTAACGATACGTTTTTAGAGAAGAAACAAGCTGTTAATGTGTTTTGACCCTTGGCCTCGAAGCACGAGTTGAAACGTGTACTCATGCAGGAATCGAAGCAATTCCTGAGATGATATTTTAATTATTATCATAGAACAAACCCTACGATTTGTTTTGATTTCTAACTTCGTTCATTTTTAATTAAGATTTGTTAACAATCACTCTTGTTTTTGTTCGTGGCAGATCATATAGCTGTACTCCTCGAGTTGTTTTAAGAATTCATTTTTTTTTTATAAAATGTGTTTTACCAAGTATAGCTTGTCTAGACAGAGATGAGAAATCCTCTAAGCGTTCGATCCTCATCTAAGTGACATCAATGATATCTAGCCGCGATGAAATAACATTACTGAAGAACACGATTAATAAATAATGAGCTGAAAGTCAATTAGATGTTTAAAAATTTGGGATGTTGTTTCATGGAGAGAAATCTTCCTTAAGAGAACTGTTATTGATAGTTTGCGGTTGGAAACCAAGACATCCGTGCCTATCGGAAATCTACCTAGAGGTGAGGTAATATAGTCCAGATTTTTTTTCATTGAATTAAACCGATTGAAACTGAAAATTAGACAAACTGGATCTTGATTCGAAAAAGTTAAGAGAATGAAAATATTACGTATATGCTGCTGATGACACTAACTGTCATGAAAATCAAATGAACTGAACAAAGTGTTTTCACAACAATTACAGTCAGTGTCTTGCGAAATCAGGCATGGTCTGCAGAAAATATGTTGAAATCTCACACATACTTTGACTGTGGGAAGCAAGTCTGTCATCTGTTAACAGGAATATATATTTTTTGTAGTTTGAAGTGGCTAAATATGAAGCAATTCTTTTACTCACAAAATGCCATTATTTTTGTCATCCTTCATAACTGGCCCAGTCACAACCATACACATCTTCTGATCCTGAAATAACATGAACAAGCTTTTGAGATCTTTCCAATATGATAAACTAATTAGGTGTCATATTGCATCACAAGTGAACAGGAAAGATCTAACTCCCTAATTAACAGAATACACTTGATTTGTACAGTGTGTTACCTATCATACTTTGTTTAGATGTTTTTGTTGATACTGAATTACTAATTTTGAAAATTATTACTTTGGTATGCCATTCAATAATTGTCCTTTCCTAAATGGTAAAAATAACTTTTCGTGATTTTTTGTATGATGCCCAATATGGGTATGTTTGACATCAGTAAAAACCACCCTTGTTTAACTCCCAAGGGAAAGGAAATTGGCTGTCAGAAGTGGTGAAAATAATAAAGTAAAATTACATTCATTTGTTTGATTAAAAGAGGGAAGCAGTTTTGGTGTGAGTTATTTGAAGTTTGAAGAAACGGAAGGTATCAGAAATCTGGATTCTACTGAATGTTTTTATTTGTTTCATGTAAAATGATTGAAATAATTTGACAGGTTAGGTAGAAGAATGAGTTCATGACTTAAGTACAGGTTGACAGTAAAAAAGCTTGTATGGGAAATCATGTTTAACTAAGAGTGATGAAAAGTTATTATCAGTTTCACTTGATCACAAATGATGTCCATGTGTTTGGTTAGCTGTTCTGTCACTCATGATTTATTAATTTTCTATAGCTGGACCAATGTTCAGAGTCTTAAAATAGCTGAGAAGAATATACTGCTTTTGATCTAACATCTGGAAATTGTTAGAGGTTCTTGTTTTTTAGTATGAGGTTGATAAACTGTAGGCTCCATCTCCTATCTTCTCTGTATTGGAGAGCAAGGGGCATTGAAGAACCTATGCACATCCTGCAAAGATAGGGGAACATTGCTCCAGCCATAGTGGTCTGGCCTTGATTCTAAAATTGGGGCATCTGCAAAAAATACCCTCAGAAATTGTTAACTTCTCAATGTAATCTGGCTTAAGTCACTTGCAAAATGTTGTAAAATGCCATGAGCTAGTGAATACGATGCAATAGAAATCCTCCATTATTATCATTATTATTGTTATTATTGTTGTTGTTATATTTAATTTGGCTTACTTTGTGATTACTTTGAATTTTAGAGAGGATCAGGTTTAGATTAATAATCACAACACCAGCATCAAGGGAGTGGTTGAAATACTGCCGGGAAAATGTTGCGAGTTCAAACACCACGTTTCAAGAAAATTATTCAACAACAGTTTACAAGTAGCAGTGGATTATGGTCAACATGTCGGTATCTCCATGCAGGAAATAAATTGTTTCAGACTAACAAACCTGAGCCTCGTAGAAGTGAAATAAAGAAAATTCTGGTTGCTAATCGTGGTGAGATTGCTATCAGAGTCTTTCGTGCAGCTACTGAGGCTGGTATTAGGACTGTTGCTATTTATTCAGAACAAGATGCTAATCTCATGCACAGACAAAAGGCTGATGAAGCATATCTCATTGGCAAAGGCATGCCTCCTGTTGCAGCTTATTTAAATATTCCAGAAATCATCAAAATTGCAAAGGTAAATGAATGAGTTAGGTGTTTAGGTTTGGTTTTATTCCTTTTGCTCCAAAGATCTCATTAGCAATTTTCTTTACATTCCGCCATACAATTCTTATGATTTTGATTTGGAGAATATGGTATTGGATCAACCAATAATCCCTCAACTGACAGTTTTTTTTCTCTCATTGCTTCTCTGCTAGATATTGTAAAGATTTTGAGAGGATAATTTTTTTCTCGGTTAAAAATGGGTTTAAAAACCACAAATAGCAGAGCTACATGACTGTGTACATTGAGGGTTAGGTAAATACTCATTGTCTTTTAAATTATATTCCAGGAAACAGAGGCTGATGCAATTCACCCAGGATATGGATTTCTCTCAGAGAGAGCCAACTTTGCTGAAGCTTGTGTCAAAAATGGCATCATTTTCATCGGCCCCTCCCCCTCAATTGTCAAAATGATGGGGGATAAGGTGGAAGCTCGGCAAGTAGCAGTCAATGCAGGTGTGCCTGTGGTTCCTGGCACAGAGAACCCAATCAAAACTGTGGAAGAGGCCAAAGCCTTCTGTGAGCAGTATGGGTTGCCTGTCATAACCAAGGCAGCATATGGCGGAGGTGGCCGTGGCATGAGGGTAATCCATAAGATGGAAGATGTGGAAGAGTTCTTTAACTTAGCCAGCAATGAGGCATACGCTGCTTTTGGAGATGGTTCAATGTTTATTGAAAAGTTTGTTGGTAGGTTCATTACCCTTTATCTCCCAATATCTCATTAGTAATTCTCCTTACTGTCTGCTATACAGTTTTTGTGATGTTAGTTTAGAGAATTTGGTATTGGATCAACTTATAATCCCCTAATTGACATTTTTATTTATTCTCATCACTTGTCTGCTTGATATTGTATTGGTACTGTAAGGAGAAATTCTGTCTTGGTCACCCATGGGACTTAAAGGATTAAATAGTCATTTCTGAAGAATTAAGGAATGTTGGCAATTGAATTAACAGCGAAGGAAATTGTTTTGAACAATGTAACACGATATTTCAAGAAGTGACTAACATAGAATTGTCAATATCAATCAATATCAATCAATATCCATCAATATCAATCTATATCAATCAATCAATAATTTATTTAACCACGTTATCGTCCAAGAGCACCAGTGCTCGTTCAAAATACGAACGTGCATTAAATCTACAATTACAATAATAAAATCTAGTATTAAAAGAAAAAAAACTAAGGACTTTTTGAACCAGCATGAGATGTTTTTTGCCTTCTGAATTATATTTAACAATATATTTTTTTCTCTCAGTTTTTGAAAACTTTAAGATTTACCTGAAACCTTGTACACAAGAAGAAGGAATTGAATTTTTATCTTTTATAGACGTGATGCATGAGTTTTTCTTAAATTTGTGCATGAAACAAAACCTCTCCTTTGCAACCTTCTGTTGAAAGTTCTGACTGAATTGACTGACTGAGATTTCACCTTTAACACTTCTTTGTCCAGGGTCAGTGGGTATAACCACATTCATTGCCAGCTCTCGTAGGCTTATCTCCTTATCTTCAACAAAGAAAATGTCCCCATCCTTAGTTGGTGCGTTTCGAAACAACACGTCATCCATAGATCCATAACCATAAATTGGCTGGCCAGACAAATACATGCAAAACAAGTCAGTTAAATAAATTAAAATGTCATGTGAAAATGTTCAGGGAGATGATATCAACATTACAGCCTGTTTCTCCCCGTTCTTGCATGTACATGTACAAAATATTGACACACTGTAAGGGCAAAGAACTTCTCACAATTATTTCTTGAAAGAGGTGTTCATGCGCATGCCATTTCTTCAAATAATGACCTTAATTCAGGCCAAAACATGCCATTTTCCACACCTGTGTCAGGGGTTTCAACAACTTTTTTCCATAAGTTGCTGCTGACAGTATAATAATGGGTACACCTGGTAAGGTGCTGTAAAGCAAAACCGAAAAAGGAGAGCCCACTTTCAAGCTAAACAGACTGCAGTAAGCAAAGTTTTCATAAATACGTCCAGTCATACTGTACGCTCCAAAAGTTTCTTTGAGACACATACCCTCTTTTAAGATTACACTGGTCATAATCTAGTCCTGTTTCAAGACCAAAACACCTCAAAAAGCGTACCCTTTGTGCTTGGAACAAACGTTTATCGCTTGCATAGGGGGAGGACCGTCTCCCCTGCTTCCCTCCCCCCCCCTCCCCACCTTCACTGCGCCTTTCAAGACATCCAAACTCTCTCGTATGCCTTATTAGAGGTTCGAAGATCTTCCTTAACACGTGGGCGAGATTAAAACTATCACATCATGATCTCTCATACAGAGTCGAGTTTGATCGACAGATGTGAGATTAAATTCCATGTTTTACCTCTGTGCTACTTCTTTCTAATGCTTTGTTGAAGTCTTCGCTTGAGAGCCTTCTCCGCTTAGCATGCTTCATAAACTGTGAGGCACTCTGTAAAATTTAAATAAAATGTTCAGCTGATTAAACTGATACTTCCTTTACGATCATAATAGTAAACGAGTTAATGGAAGAAGTAAGCGTGTTCATTTAAACCTGCAGCGTTTCGCGAAGTCTGTAGGTCACATCTTCAGCCAAGGAACTGGCAAGATCGTCTGTCAAAGTCTGAACGCCGCAAATTTCCGCGTACAATTTCACCGACTTCGGCGAAACAATGGAAAATTTCGAGTCTTCCGTCATGGCTCAGACTTTTAACTGCATCTATCTGTAATATGTCATCGCAACTACATGGAACAGGTGTTGAAATGTTGTGAATCGAATGATCACAACTGAGGTCTAACTAAGAACGCCATGTTGCAAGTATTTGGTCTAGAGAGATTGGGTTCTAGCTCAGGACTACCAGCCTATTCGGATGAGTAAAACAAACAAATAAACGAATCAACATTTATAAAAATAATAATAATAATAATAATGAAAAAAAAATAAGTGAGAGGATGATTAGGAGAAGATAAATATAAGTAGATATAGAAACAGCCAGATTATAGTATGTGAGTAAATCATGAGCGAGAGTTTTTTTGGCGTTAATCAACATCACGTTGAAAAATAAACAAACAGTTATGGACTTCGGACAGAAAATGATACTTTTTTGATACTTGGTTGCCCTGTTGTCTTACTCTATCTCAAAACTTTCAGAATTCAAGGGGATGGATCTTAGCTTGAATTTTATCATTCAAATAATTTCAAAAGTATCCGTGTTTTTTTCTTTTCTATTTCTTTTTTGTTTTAGCATAACCCATTCTCAACATCACAAGATTATCTTATGACTTTCAGGCCACAGTGTTACCCGTTTGGATCCTGAATGATCCCTCAAGGACACTACAAAGAAATACCGTCTGAATAACTAACAATCCCTAATTTTCTTCTTTTGGTTTAAGCCAGTGAAGCATGGGAACCTCAAGGTGTATTAAAAAGATTTGATTTGATATCTCACAGTGAAGTCCAAGGTAGATTTAGGGACCTTTGTGATACGCACACGGTCGATAAACCGTCCTGTCTAACTTTACATGTGACTTTTATTAGACGAAAAAAAAGGTACTTTTCGACCTGCTGATTGATTGCGGGCGCAGGCGTGACTGACTCGAATAATCACACATTACTTTCGTCAGAGTATTTCTGTTAGTCATTGATGGAGTGGCTATGTTTTGGGGCTTCATCCTGAAGGTAAACAATCCTAGTGAACTCTATATTTCTAGGTTTTAAATTTAAATTGCTCTCTTCCCTTCCGTGCAATACATTCGTTAATTTTTTGTTTGTACTCTTCTGGTTGTACCTCCCTCGCTGGAAGTCAAGTGTGACGTGAGTGTGCAGAAAAGAAACAGGCAAATAGCGAGTATTAATTCTTTAGTTTCTTAGTTAATATTTCTTGATCGCGTTTCTCCGACAGAGGATGATCTCCTTTTGATCAAAGATTTTCTCAGTAGGAATTCGATCCCACAGGTTAGTAATTAACGATACGTTTTTAGAGAAGAAACAAGCTGTTAATGTGTTTTGACCCTTGGCCTCGAAGCACGAGTTGAAACGTGTACTCATGCAGGAATCGAAGCAATTCCTGAGATGATATTTTAATTATTATCATAGAACAAACCCTACGATTTGTTTTGATTTCTAACTTCGTTCATTTTTAATTAAGATTTGTTAACAATCACTCTTGTTTTTGTTCGTGGCAGATCATATAGCTGTACTCCTCGAGTTGTTTTAAGAATTCATTTTTTTTTTATAAAATGTGTTTTACCAAGTATAGCTTGTCTAGACAGAGATGAGAAATCCTCTAAGCGTTCGATCCTCATCTAAGTGACATCAATGATATCTAGCCGCGATGAAATAACATTACTGAAGAACACGATTAATAAATAATGAGCTGAAAGTCAATTAGATGTTTAAAAATTTGGGATGTTGTTTCATGGAGAGAAATCTTCCTTAAGAGAACTGTTATTGATAGTTTGCGGTTGGCCACCAAGACATCCATGCCCATCGGAAATCTACCTAAAGGTGAGGTAATATAGCCCAGATTTTTTCTCATTGAATTAAACCGATTGAAATTGAAAATTAGACAAACTGGATCTTGATTCGAAAAAGTTAAGAGAATGAAAATATTACGTATATGCTGCTGATGACACTAACTGTCATGAAAATCAAATGAACTGAACAAAGTGTTTTCACAACAATTACAGTCAGTGTCTTGCGAAATCAGGCATGGTCTGCAGAAAATATGTTGAAATCTCACACATACTTTGACTGTGGGAAGCAAGTCTGTCATCTGTTAACAGGAATATATATTTTTTGTAGTTTGAAGTGGCTAAATATGAAGCAATTCTTTTACTCACAAAATGCCATTATTTTTGTCATCCTTCATAACTGGCCCAGTCACAACCATACACATCTTCTGATCCTGAAATAACATGAACAAGCTTTTGAGATCTTTCCAATATGATAAACTAATTAGGTGTCATATTGCATCACAAGTGAACAGGAAAGATCTAACTCCCTAATTAACAGAATACACTTGATTTGTACAGTGTGTTACCTATCATACTTTGTTTAGATGTTTTTGTTGATACTGAATTACTAATTTTGAAAATTATTACTTTGGTATGCCATTCAATAATTGTCCTTTCCTAAATGGTAAAAATAACTTTTCGTGATTTTTTGTATGATGCCCAATATGGGTATGTTTGACATCAGTAAAAACCACCCTTGTTTAACTCCCAAGGGAAAGGAAATTGGCTGTCAGAAGTGGTGAAAATAATAAAGTAAAATTACATTCATTTGTTTGATTAAAAGAGGGAAGCAGTTTTGGTGTGAGTTATTTGAAGTTTGAAGAAACGGAAGGTATCAGAAATCTGGATTCTACTGAATGTTTTTATTTGTTTCATGTAAAATGATTGAAATAATTTGACAGGTTAGGTTGAAGAATGAGTTCATGACTTAAGTACAGGTTGACAGTAAATAAGCTTATATGGGAAATCATGTTTAACTAAGAGTGATGAAAAGTTATTATCAGTTTCACTTGATCACAAATGATGTCCATGTGTTTGGTTAGCTGTTCTGTCACTCATGATTTATTAATTTTCTATAGCTGGACCAATGTTCAGAGTCTTAAAATAGCTGAGAAGAATATACTGCTTTTGATCTAACATCTGGAAATTGTTAGAGGTTCTTGTTTTTTAGTATGAGGTTGATAAACTGTAGGCTCCATCTCCTATCTTCTCTGTATTGGAGAGCAAGGGGCATTGAAGAACCTATGCACATCCTGCAAAGATAGGGGAACATTGCTCCAGCCATAGTGGTCTGGCCTTGATTCTAAAATTGGGGCATCTGCAAAAAATACCCTCAGAAATTGTTAACTTCTCAATGTAATCTGGCTTAAGTCACTTGCAAAATGTTGTAAAATGCCATGAGCTAGCAAATATGATGCAATAGAAATCCTCCATTATTATTATTATTATTGTTATATTTAATTTGGCTTACTTTGTGATTACTTTGAATTTTAGAGAGGATCAGGTTTAGATTAATAATCACAACACCAGCATCAAGGGAGTGATTGAAATACTGCCAGGAAAATGTTGCGAGTTCAAACACCACGTTTCAAGAAAATTATTCAACAACAGTTTACAAGTAGCAGTGGATTATGGTCAACATGTCGGTATCTCCATGCAGGAAATAAATTGTTTCAGACTAACAAACCTGAGCCTCGTAGAAGTGAAATAAAGAAAATTCTGGTTGCTAATCGTGGTGAGATTGCTATCAGAGTCTTTCGTGCAGCTACTGAGGCTGGTATTAGGACTGTTGCTATTTATTCAGAACAAGATGCTAATCTCATGCACAGACAAAAAGCTGATGAAGCATATCTCATTGGCAAAGGCATGCCTCCTGTTGCAGCTTATTTAAATATTCCAGAAATCATCAAAATTGCAAAGGTAAATGAATGAGTTAGGTGTTTAGGTTTGGTTTTATTCCTTTTGCTCCAAAGATCTCATTAGCAATTTTCTTTACATTCCGCCATACAATTCTTATGATTTTGATTTGGAGAATATGGTATTGGATCAACCAATAATCCCTCAACTGACAGTTTTTTTTCTCTCATTGCTTCTCTGCTAGATATTGTAAAGATTTTGAGAGGATAATTTTTTTTCTCGGTTAAAAATGGGTTTAAAAACCACAAATAGCAGAGCTACATGACTGTGTACATTGAGGGTTAGGTAAATACTCATTGTCTTTTAAATTATATTCCAGGAAACAGAGGCTGATGCAATTCACCCAGGATATGGATTTCTCTCAGAGAGAGCCAACTTTGCTGAAGCTTGTGTCAAAAATGGCATCATTTTCATCGGCCCCTCCCCCTCAATTGTCAAAATGATGGGGGATAAGGTGGAAGCTCGGCAAGTAGCAGTCAATGCAGGTGTGCCTGTGGTTCCTGGCACAGAGAACCCAATCAAAACTGTGGAAGAGGCCAAAGCCTTCTGTGAGCAGTATGGGTTGCCTGTCATAACCAAGGCAGCATATGGCGGAGGTGGCCGTGGCATGAGGGTAATCCATAAGATGGAAGATGTGGAAGAGTTCTTTAACTTAGCCAGCAATGAGGCATACGCTGCTTTTGGAGATGGTTCAATGTTTATTGAAAAGTTTGTTGGTAGGTTCATTACCCTTTATCTCCCAATATCTCATTAGTAATTCTCCTTACTGTCTGCTATACAGTTTTTGTGATGTTAGTTTAGAGAATTTGGTATTGGATCAACTTATAATCCCCTAATTGACATTTTTATTTATTCTCATCACTTGTCTGCTTGATATTGTATTGGTACTGTAAGGAGAAATTCTGTCTTGGTCACCCATGGGACTTAAAGGATTAAATAGTCATTTCTGAAGAATTAAGGAATGTTGGCAATTGAATTAACAGCGAAGGAAATTGTTTTGAACAATGTAACACGATATTTCAAGAAGTGACTAACATAGAATTGTCAATATCAATCAATATCAATCAATATCCATCAATATCAATCTATATCAATCAATCAATAATTTATTTAACCACGTTATCGTCCAAGAGCACCAGTGCTCGTTCAAAATACGAACGTGCATTAAATCTACAATTACAATAATAAAATCTAGTATTAAAAGAAAAAAAAGAAATTTTAAATACGTAATCTATAATCTATGTACACACGAATATAAGGTGTTATAAAAATTACACACCGACACAAAAAAGAAAATTTAAAAATATAATTGATCTTAGCTTGGACTTAAAAACATTAACATCATCGGCCAGCTTGACATCTTCTGGAAGTTTATTCCACAGTTGAGCGCACTTGTAAGTAAAAGAGTTCCTCATAAATTTAAGATTAAATTTGGGAACGCAAAGATTAACGCCATCTCCTCCAAGGAGTGACTAACATAGAGTTGTATGGCAAGCAGTGGGGAAAGTTGATAGGATTCAAATATGAGGAGTCGATGAAAGACTAAACTTTTGGATTTAAAAAAATTTTTCTTTTCATCCAGAACAACCGAGACATATTGAAGTTCAGATGATGGGGGATGCCTACGGAAATGTTGTACACCTTTATGAACGAGACTGTTCAGTGCAGAGACGTCATCAGAAAATCATAGAAATCGCCCCAGCGCCAGAACTTCCTCAGGAAATCAGAGACAAAATGACAAGCGATGCCGTTAAACTGTGTAAAGAAGTTGGTTATCAAAATGCTGGGACTGTGGAATTCTTGCTGGATCCACAAGGAAATCATTACTTTATCGAGGTTAACGCCCGTCTTCAAGTGGAGCACACGGTGACGGAAGAAGTTACAGGGTATGTTGTTTTTATCAGTGTCTATTGCAAAGTTGTAGTCAAGTTTCAGTCCGGGTAGGAGTAGGGGGAAAGGGGAGGGGTGATTACCATGGCTGGTGTGACCCTCCTTTTTTCGAGAAAACGTGACAATTCGTGACGCGTACATGGCGTCAAGCGCATCGTTTTGGTCAACCTTGCAAAAAAAAAAAAAAAAATGAAAGGGACAGCTTGTGGAGCATAATATGACGTACCGTAGCTCTCAGCAATTTAGGAAGCGAGAGGATGTGTATCTCATTTTAACTTAGAACTGTGTACAGGAAGTAATGAAAACTTTACGGCTTCCTTCACGCCCCTCGAATGCAGTTGGCCAATTTGGCGACTTCCGCTGCTAACCTAGTCACCAAAACCTACTCCCCATGGCGACTAACGGTCGCAGTTTGAGTGCTACAATGATTTTTCTCTCTTGAATTTATAGTGTCGATCTGGTACGAACACAAATCAATGTGGCAGAAGGAAAATCTCTGGAGGAAATAGGACTTCGTCAAGAGGATATCAAAGTGACTGGATCAGCAATTCAAGCTCGTATCACAACTGAAGATCCTGCAAATAACTTCACTCCAGATACAGGCAGGATTGAGGTAACATTTACATGTACTGTAATAATTCGATTTAGCGCCCGCGGCGCTTATTTACTTTGGTACCTCAAGGGAGGGTGCCTATTCGAAACAGGACGCTTATTAGGGACAAGGTGCTCATTTCTTTTTTATAGCAATATAAACTAGCTTGGTTATGCTTTAGTACGTTGATCACTGATATTTACGTTGATTATTGAGATTGCCGAAGATTTTCAGAGTTTTGCGAAGATCGTATCTCCTTGGTTACGAAGATTTGCCGAAGATTGTCAGAGATTACTGAGGACTGCATGACGGAGCTTAGTGAGGATTGTATTACGTTGACTTCGGAGATCGGAAATTGCCGACGATTTCTAATGTTTCCTAAGATTACACTACGTTGATTACGGAGATTGGCGAAGATTTCCGAATATTGTCGAATATTTGCCACTATTCTTAGGGAGACTTCCGAAGAGGATTTGCATCCACTTTGTAAAGATCAAACTGTTATATCTTCATCATTATATTTTGTCGTTTTTTTCGCAGGTTTTCCGAACAGGTGAAGGAATGGGAATTCGATTGGATGGGAATTCCATGTTTCCTGGTGCTGTGGTTTCTCCTCATTACGACTCACTTCTAACGAAAGTTATCAGCAAAGGCTCAACTCATAGAGACGCTGCAACCAAACTGCTGAGAGCACTGCGTGAGTTTAGAGTCAGAGGGGTCAAGGTGTGGCTAACACATTTTTTTTATTCTAATTTTTTACTTTTTATGTGATAGTTATTCACCGATGTAGCTCCATCTGTCCCATCAACATTAAAGTGAATTATTGTTTCAATAAATTTCACAACTGCTAGAATAACTAGCCGACAAAAAAGTACTCGATTTTTGTCAAACGTTCGGGAATCTAACCTCAAAAACTTATCAGCCTCAGTTACCAAAGTCAGTATTCTCACATTTTCCGGGGGTTCGGTCAAACCTACGGAGATGGTCATGGTCTAGAATAAGCGTTTAATTATCATTGTGAGTCTATGGGGGATTGTTTTCGTTCGGAAAAATTGCCATATAGAGGCTTTCTTACCAGCACCAAAGAGAAATATCGTAACTCTGATATTAACATTGTCATCAACTATACCACGCAATTAACTGAGCAAGGCGATGGTAATAAAAAGGAGTTGTATGGCTTAGATCGTTTAGTCTCAGTTTTCAAAGAGAGTCTCGTAGTCAGCGAGCAGCCTCTCAATAACGCTGCGTCACTTAAGGCAAAGCCTGCAGGTTTCGAGTCCGCGAGCGATGCGAATCTTCGCATGGTCTGCGAGGGGTCTGTAACGGTTCTGGTACTCCTCACAGACATTTTTCGCGGTCTTCTCGCACGCTCACAGCGCTAACGTGAGCCTCGGATTTTACCACTTACCACTCTTAGAAAAAGGAAGAAAGATACCTGAGTCAATGTAATAAACACAGTGACGTTGCTTTTTTTGCAGACCAATATTCCTTTCATTATCAATGTTCTTAAAGAAGATGAGTTTCTAGATGGCGCTGTTAGGACAGATTTCATCCTCCACAGACCTCAATTGTTCAAAGTAGAATGGGGTCAAAATCGAGCTCAGAAATTGCTCCAGTATCTTGGAAACGTGATGATTAACGGACCGTGCACTCCTTTGGCGACTACTTTGAAACCCTCCAAGGACGCTCCAGAAGCACCCGAGGTATGAAACGTATTGCTCTAACGCGCTATGTGCCGTCTTGTACATTAAAACAAATTCAGCCTAAGTTTTTTAAAGTTCCGCTCTGACTAGCTTGTGAATTTGTTAGCTATCGTATATACAAAGTGTAGCCAGGGAGTTGAACTCGGGGTAACCGAGAACAAATCTAGTGAGCACCAGGGTGAAGGGCATTAGATTACAAGTCCAGTGCCCAGACCCCTTAGCCACACTACCTTCGTTCAGGAACCTTCCAATTATGTCCACAGTATGGATGAGAACAATGATAACTTTAAGTACTTTTGCATTTCCCTCTACTTAATTAAGCGTTGATTTATTTTTTGAATCGGAATTGTTGGTGGTTTTAAATCTGAGTGGTTTATGGGATTGTGTGAGTTTTGTCGACGTATCATAAAGTGTGGTTATATACAACCAAGGCAATCCAGGGATTAATTTTACACTTTCTCCTAAAAATTCTTCAAAAATAATCTGTCTAATTTGTTATGAATAGTTGTTTGTTAGTAAAAAGCTTTCTCTTCTACTAGATCCCCAAAACGTCCAATTCGGGTTCCTACGGCCACCTGAGACCGAGCGGATTCCGAGATATTTTATTACAGCAAGGACCTGAAGGTTTTGCCAGTGCTGTTCGAAAGAGCAACAGGCTTCTGCTGACAGATACAACATTCAGGGACGCCCACCAGTCACTGCTGGCCACCCGTGTGCGGACTCATGACATGCTCAAGGTGGCACCATTTGTGTCACATTATTTTGCCAATGCCTACAGTTTGGAGAATTGGGGAGGTCAGTGCATATGCAAGACTCCCTAGACTTAAAATCGCTGATGGTGTCAGAAGATTGCAGTAACCGACCTTGAAATTTATACAGCACCTAAATAATCAGCCCCAGAACACATTTCGATCAATTGTCGTGAAACAATACCAGAACAATCCAAGTAATTGCTTAGGGTTAGGAGCCAATGGAAATTCAAATCGAAAACATGTGATCTGTCTGAGGCGCGGGAAAAAGCGAGTAGAGTCGCGACTGGTTTTAGATTTGTATCTGATTGGTTAAGAGGGTGATACGTGTTTTCTGGACCCATCACAGAGCGAGTTAAAGCAAAACCGATGCAAGGCGGGATTAGTTGGGACACTTGTTTGAAAATGGCCCCTAACGATGGAATTACGAAGCTTTGTTCAGCCAGCTTTTGTTTCAGCCAACAAACTTAGATTTGAATCTGAAGAAATGTACTTTTTGGGCTGGGGATGTATGCTGTACTCCTAGTCAAAGATCAGCATCGAGTTCTCCGTATCTTATTGGTAGAGTTTCAAAATGCAGTCTGGGATTCGAATCCATTTTAGGAGCTGCGATTTTTTCTCTCGTCGGCTTTTGTAACAAAACGAATTGCATCGTTCTACAATGGGAGACCGAGCCCAAAATTAATCATCTTTGCAACTTCAATCTATTTACAGGTGCAACCTTCGATGTTGCCCTACGTTTCCTGTACGAATGTCCCTGGGATCGCCTGGCCCAGCTGCGAGAAGCTGTTCCCAACATCCCGTTTCAGATGCTCCTCCGCGGTGCAAATGCGGTGGGATACACCAGTTACCCCGACAACGTGGTTTTCAAGTTTTGTGAAAAGGCGCACCAGAACGGCATGGATATTTTCAGGGTATTCGATTCCTTGAACTACCTGCCGAATTTACAGGTAATTACAATATTATATCTACAAATTATATCGCTTGAACCGACTAGAAATATGTTTTTTTCTCACAGACGGGATGCTGGTCCATCGCAGATAACCTCCCCTCCCCACTTCCCCTGTAGGGTTTACTGTCAACCCCAAGGTCTTTTCATTAGTACTACCGGCGGATGCTCTTCCACTGATCTTCAGGAGATTTTAAGTACAGTGCTGAGGCCGTCATTTCTCATGATGTTTATACAACACGTTTTCGACTCTGGCCTTGTGACATTATCATCTTTTCGAGCGTGTTCTACTGCGTGTTTCAAAAATATCATGGCACTGCACTGTATTAAAGTTTTAGTTCACACTGCGTTGGTTCTCCCCACGAACACATATGAGTTTATAGTGCATTTGGCCTTCAACCTCTGACTGACGCCTTTTTTCCCCTTCAGCTTGGTATTGAAGCTGCTGGCAAGGCAGGCGGAGTGGTAGAGGCTGCGATATCCTACACTGGTGATGTGTCCAACCCAATGAAGACAAAGTATAACATTGATTATTACATGAACCTGGCGTCAGAACTGGCACGTTCTGGTGCGCATGTGCTCTGTATCAAGGTATGGCACGAAGGAAATAATTAATTCATTTATAGCTTTTTTATGCTAAACAAAAATGCTTGTAGTAATCCCTACAGCGTTTGGCCTCAAAAGAAGGTATATCTATTTTTGCTTCCAAAGATGTGTTTCATTCTCTCATTACTTCTTACGCCAAATTATCCATTATCACAGCTTTCAATTTCAAAATTAGGCAAAGGATCAACCTTTTTTTTGGTGAAAAATGAGTTTTATTTTCATGAGAACAAAAATAGTAAACTAAATCGTATTCACATTTACCCTTGTTTCACAGCAAAGGCTTTGGCCATCTAGCTCTAGTCTTCAAAGAGAGTGCTAACTGTCCACATAAATTTTAATGGGAAGCATACTTAAGTTATTCGCAGTGTAAGACGTAGCTTTAAACTAACGAGAGTGAAGGTCTTCTCTACTTTCTTTTCTCTCCTTTCTTTCTATTTTTTCCTTATTGTTCCCAATGATTTAATGCGACTCCTCAATATCTGCACGACTAGTCACGTGTCCCTATTTATTCCTTATACAGGACATGGCCGGAGTATTAAAGCCAAATGCCGCTACATTGTTGATTGGTTCTCTTCGAGCCCAGTTCCCTAAGCTACCCATTCACGTACATACCCATGATACCGCTGGGGCAGGTGTAGCCTCCATGTTGGCCGCGGCGGAGGCTGGAGCCGACGTGGTAGATGTTGCTGTAGACTCCATGTCTGGCATGACGTCACAGCCAAGCATGGGGGCCATTGTTGCGGCATTGGAAAACACGGAGAAGGAAACAGGTATGAATTGAATAGAAGCTGAAACATTTTACATCTCTTGATTGTGCATTTCGTGATCCTTCCCAAATTAGGGCGCTGTCCTGTTGAATTAGTGAGCAGCAACTGCATGGAGAAAAGTAAAAAAATTGGAATCGTTTTTGCTCCCACAGGAATTCCTCTTGAACGTGTCCACGAGTACAGCGAGTACTGGGAACGAGCGAGGAATCTGTACGCTCCGTTTGAGAGCACTGTCACCATGAAGACCGGAAATGCTGACGTGTACGAGAACGAGATTCCTGGGGGACAGTACACTAACCTTCACTTCCAGGCCTACTCGCTCGGCCTGGCTGATCAGTTCACCGATGTCAAAAAGAAATATGCGCTGGCTAACGAACTGCTGGGTGATGTAGTGAAGGTATGACAGTGTTGTTGATGAAAGATTTTCAAATTTCATTTGTCACGATTTTAATGCAGACATCGTAGGAACTTTGTGGACCATTCTTACGGTAATCCAACCCGTCATCCATTACAGTTTTGCCTCTCCCCCATAGAGGATGCTAATCTGTTGCACCTCCTCAAATTTTCTTGCAGTTCACGGATACCCATCAATCAAATATACCCCTGGGTGCAGGGAAAAACAAAACTAAAACGAGCTCCATGTGGGAAAATATTTCTTGGATGTTTTCATTTCTGTTATGACTTGATATTTTGCTTTGAGGTATTCTTCGGTCAAGAAGCTTCAAGATGGCTAATCTTCATGATCTTGACTGGGCCGTTTTTATATCTACAACAAGAACTCCACTTTAAGAAACTAAAAGAATTTCTATTTTCTTCATAGGTGACTCCAACCTCCAAGGTCGTTGGTGACTTGGCTCAGTTTATGGTGCAGAACAAGTTGGATGATCGCGATGTGCTCGCCAAGGCTGATGAACTTGACTTCCCATCTTCAGTGGTAGAGTTCTTGCAAGGTTATTTGGGTCAACCGCATGGCGGTTTCCCTGAACCCCTTCGAACAAAGGTTAGTTAATTTCCCTAATTTGAAATTACACCTTCTTTTTAAGCGTTTTGTGCTAGAAAAAAGAAAGCGTGCTTATACGCTACTTGAAATCGAGGGCTTTCTTGTGTCCAAAGAACCTTGTTGAACTTGCGTTATTTAAAGTGAAAAGAACTCTGGGTTCCGACGCAAACATTCTAATTGTGTCGACAAATATAACTCCATTTCTTTGTTTTATTTGAAAAAAAAAAAGAATAATTATTTTCCTTTTATTTCATCTTCCATATTTCAAGAAAAAAAAATTGATTAATTAATTTATTATCACAGCGAAGATAATCAACTTTTTTACGATACTTTTTGACCCGTTATCGAGGATCTTCATGTATTTTTGAATATCACAATCACTTATGACTGACTACTTTTCTGTGTAAACAATTGTCTCTAAAAACTTTTCCCAACTCTCTCCTGATATCCTTCTTCAAGAACGCGTAAGCGAGAGGATTTGCAGCGGCGTTTAGTAGAAAGAAAAACAAAACGACGTCTATTAAAGCTGACGGACAGACTGTACAGAAAAATAAGTAAGTTTCGATCGAGTAGCAAAAAACGAAGATGAAAACCACGACTGCTACAACCGTCGCCGAGGACGCCTCAGGGATCCGTCGGAAAATTTTCGGCTTTTCGTCGGAGATAGGCCGATTATATTGCAAATCGGCCAGGAGAGACGAGATTTCTTTCTTATGCCTTCGAACAATCACGAGCATGTGTATAGTGGCTAAAGTCAGGAAGATCATGGGAAGAAATTCAAGAACGCACTTTCTAACGAGGGTTACAGCAAATACCGTGGCCGATGCACTGAAATGCGTTACGATGACTGTGTGAAGAATCCACACCACTGCTGGAAAAATCCATGTTGCGGCTATCATCGGAAAGCTCCTTTTTGGCGTCATGTAAACAATGTACTTGAGAGGCAACGCAATGGCGACGTAACGATCGATTGTCATCGCGCATAGGTTCCCTACCGAAGCGTGTAGCAGAAAACTCAGGAGAATCGTGATAACGTGACCCTTTTGTGAAGAACACAAACTCCATCGAATCTTGCAGGTGTACAGAGTAGGGAAGAAAAATATACCAATGAAGAAATCGGCAGCCGCTAGGGACGTAACGAACCAGTTAGCTGTAGTTCGCAGCCGTCTTTTTGTTATTATGAGCCAAATCACAACTGCGTTTCCTGCCACGGCCATAATAGTGGGGAACCAACCGATAATCCAGAACCATTTGTGCATGTTCTGTACCTTGCCTCTTCTCCCCGATTGGAGCTCGATGCTATGAATTTTGTTCGGTCTCTGAAGAAATTGGCGGGCCGAAATTTAGACCAAAGATCGATGTGAAAACTGTTTCGTACCAAAATCCAGGCTTTTCGCCTTCAATCCACGGAAAATTGTTCTCAATTTGCTTTTCACTCGCCAGTTGTATTGTTTCTGTTTGAAAAAGCTGGTCGACGTTAATGGAGCAGAAATTTTCTTTTCTTTTCTTTTCTTTTCAAGTTCACCTGGAGACGAAAGATGAGTGTCTGATTTGTTTCGTTCAGACGGCTGTGAAACAGTTTCAAATATCATCAGCCTCTTGCGATTGAAAAACTCTCCTAGTTTTTTAATTAATTAATTTTTTCCAGCATTTGCTCTCGATCTTTTCAATTGTTTGCTCAAACGCGCCAAGTTCTTTTCCAGATCATCACTTCACCTGCTTCCAATTGTTTCGGATCTCGCATTTTCCTTATTACAAACATTCTTTCCGGAAAGGAAGTGTAAACAATTTCGTAAGTTTTTTTTCTGTTTCGACTATGGTACAATCTCGATTTTGAAAGCACTATACTATACCATACTGAATCGTAGAGGAAATAAATTTTGACGTAAATATTTAATGCTTTTACAACCCTAAAAAAACGATATTCATATTTTCCATACTGTTCTCCATATATTTCCTAAGGTGATGACCAGGAAAATTTGTTTAACAATCAATAGCTTTTTTAGTTGGTGATCATTTCATTTATTCTCATGACTCTGGTGTGTGATTCAGGGCTGATATTGTAGGGAGAAATTGGATGCCTGGAATCAAAGGGCAGAGAAAAGACTTGTTCTTTTTACGACTCAAACCCACAAACGATGTCTTGTTATATTATCTGTACTATCCTATTGACAATTGTTGAAGTGCTGTACATTTTTTTAAAACTTAACAAACTCATTATGAGGGTAAGACGCTCGAATCATAATAGATTACGATGACTGAACAAGAACTTTTTTTTTAAATTCTCTCAAAAATATCCTGCTCGGAGGCTCTCATCATTGGCTCTTCGGCACGATTGTTTCTTCGCCCGCGGTTAAGTATGACGCCTTAAGAAAAGTGAGTTGGTGAGAGGTCTGTAAGGCGTCTGGCACCGATAATTATTAGTGCCAGATCCCCAGCAAACCTCTCCCCGACGTCTCCAATCTTCCCGCGGGCAGAGAAACGCACGTCCCGAATAGTTGATGAAGAGGGCCTGTTCCCAGGCCATATCAAGAAAAACGCGGTTGTGTTCTTTGTAGTTTCTGCATTTACCTTGTGAACATTCTTCATCAAAATTCGTCGACAGTTTTCAGCCGTTTTGGTCTGTGCAATGTAAGAACGACATCCAATATAATACAGTGCTGTTGATAAAAGCCATAAGCTGACCGAAACCGCTGCCAAAAACCGTCTGCCTTATTCAGCCGGCTTCTTTCACCTCATTTTACCGCAGAAGCCGATGAAAAATCGTACAAGTATTGAAATGACATTTGTTAAATACTGTTTGATAGTCCTTTCCCAGTTTTGAGTGCAATTAAATCCATAATTGACGAGTAACTGGTTTAAATGAGTGAATAGATTCCACGTTCTGAAATTTCTTGAAGGTTCGAGTGTCTTTCGTGGAAAAGCCCTCGGACATTTTGACTTAACAGTTCCCAGTCTCGCGTGTCATCTCACGAAATAACATGGCGTCCACAATAACCTGGCCGCCTACAAATGCTCATTTGCCTTCTATTGTTAACTTAGTTGAAAACCCTCTGTTGTTCCTGCAGGCTTTAAAGGGACGCCCCACAATTGATGGAAGGCCAGGAGAATCTTTGGAGCCACTCGACTTTGACGCACTGAAAAGTAAACTGCAAGAGGAATTCGGTAAGAAGTGCGCCAGGTTGATCTAAATTTACAATAATCTGTATATTTTTAAATTATTTGTCGATCTAAGTACCTCAGCTTGTTTAATGGAAAAAGGACATTTTTGAAACGTCCGATCTGTGATCAGGGTCAGTTTATTCTCGTTTTTATCGACGATCTCTTTTAAGAGGGGAGAGGCCGGTATGAAGTGAATGGCTAAACCTAAGAGAAGTATTACTGAGCCCGTATTAAGCGGTCACCCTGTATTATTAAGCGGTCGGTTGTCAAAGTCCAGAATTTTTTTTCCCCTTTAGCAAACTTATTTTCACCTGTATTAGGCGTTCACCTCTATTAGGCGTATAGGCCTGTTTTTATCGTATTATCCACTGTATCGAACGGACATTTAAAGCAAAACCACTCAAATGAAACTAAGAAGAATCTCTCGAGTCAAGTTTATTCCATATTTATCTCTGAAATCGTTGTAAGCACTTTGAGTTCAAATATCCTCACCGTTTTGCCGATTATCTTTTTTCTTTGGACTGTTAAGACATGCACAAGACATGCACAAGTCATTTGCTGGTGAACCTGTGTGAAACGGTCACCCTGCCATTCCTCCTGGTTGGCCTTATCATGCAGGTTTTATTGTATGAGGAAAACGGGGACTTAACCCTTTATCTCCCGTGAGTGACCAGGACAGAATTTCTCCCTACAATATCAATACAATATACAGCTGGCAAGGGAAGAAAATTTTGAAAAAAAAAATGATAAGGGGGTTATAAGTTGATTAAATACCAAATTCTCCTAACTAAAATCATTAGAATTGTATGGCCGAGAGTAAGGAGAATTAGCTATGAGATGTTGAGAGGCAAAGGGACTACTTCAATGTTACCATTGGCCAGATGGCAATGGTGAGATTACACCAAACGTAATGTTCTCTACCAGAGGCGGAACATGTCACAGATCTAAAAACTGTAACCTTACTTGGACATCTTAATTAATTCTTTAGCCCTCTTTTCAAACCTCATAGCCCTCAAAGCGGTAGAAAATCTCTAATGTTAAGCACACGCTTTTGTTTTGCAGGAGAAAATGCCATTCGAGATGAGGACGTACTTAGCGCCGCTCTGTACCCTAAAGTTTTCAATGATTACATGGTGTTCAGGGAGGAGTTTGGTCCAGTTGATGGACTTCCCACCAGACTCTTCTTCACTGGCCCTGAAATTGGAGAAGAATTCCAAGTGGCGATTGAGCCTGGAAAAGTTTTGAACATCAAAGTACTGGCCATCAGTGACTTGCACCCGAATGGACAGAGAGAAGTATTCTGTGAGATGAACGGACAACTGAGAACAGTTTTGGTGGAGGACAAGTCTGTAACAAAGGTATCTACTGCCCTAGCGTGAAAACAAGCTCTCGTATCTCGTATATATCAACGTTTTTCGATGTAAATTTTGAGAGTCATATCTATCCTGATTTTCAATGTCTTTTTTGTGTTCACCTCGGTGCGAAGACTTAACTCATGGGATTGTTACTTTGTGAAAATCAAAGTTACCATGTCAGTAAAAAGCACCAAATCCAGGTACAACCCAGATCTTCTCGTGCCTCTCAGATGGTCCGCTTAATATATAAAAAAAGAATTCCTTAAGTTTCTGTCTCGCAGGTTAAAGATCTATTATAATTATTGCCATTATTATTATTGTTCTTGCTGTTGCTACTTTTTCCCTTTATGCGATCCGACAATTGTTTTTTTTTCTTCCTCCTTTCTCAGACTCTTGAGCGACATCCCAAAGCCGACAAATCTGTCAAAGGTTCCGTGGGAGCCCCCATGCCGGGTAAAGTTGTCGGCATCCGAGCAAAAGAGAACGAAGTGGTGAAGAAGGGAGACCCGCTGGTTGTTCTCAGCGCCATGAAGATGGAGACTAACGTGACTGCCCCTATCGACGGAACTGTGACGAAGATTTCCGTCAAATTGAACCAGAACTTAGAGGCGGGCGATCTCTTGGTGGATATCGAGCCTTTAAGTTAAACCGGTCGGTGACTGATCGTAATCGTTCGGTGCACCTTCGGATAACTTCGGGAAGTTTCTAATAATATTGTCGGTATACAAGCACGTCCGTGTCATGTGGTTCAATATTATCAATAGTCGAATGCTAGAATGTGTATTGGTATTGTATCCAAAGTTGAATCATGGAAAGCACTTCTCAATGAAATCTGATGTCAGAAATGGGTGATCTATAGTGATCCCCTACCCTTAAACTCTCAAGATCCAATTAGTTATTCTCCCAACTGACTAACACATATTCCTTTGCAAATTAGGCAAGAGAATTGAATGTTATGTCAAGATAACACGCGCTAGCTGTTTGCTATGTCTGTTCTTCAAACCTGTCTGCAGGATAACACATCGAAATCACAATTACATGTTAGTCACTCATGGGAGTTAAAGGGTTAAGATACTCTTTGATTTAACTTATTTTAGGTTTTGCGATTGCTTTTTATTGGTTTATGGTTTTTGTGGTATGTTTTGTTGTCAGTGTTTACTTCCCTGTCTTCATTTTCAATACGTTAACAAATCATTCTCAATCCCTCTAATTTTGTTTAATTTATCAAATTTAGAGTTTTACTTGGGTTTCCAACAAAAATGATCACAATTGAAATAAGTTATCTCCAAAATACTTAACAGTAAGAGGAACACGAGAAGTTTAAGACGTTAATTTAAGGATTTAAATATTTTAGCAAGTTCTACTTTCAATCAACAATCTTAAGTTGATGTCGACCCACAGAAATGTCATTATCTACCAAAACGAGAGTAAATATATCTATGAACTAACTTATAATTTGCATTTTGTGGGGCTTTAAATATTTCAGGCGATTTATGGAAAAACGCCGATTTCATATTAGACTTGAATACAATTTTCAGGCTGAGACACGTTGGGACGAATAAGGAATTCACCAGGTTCAATTTTTTTTAAACAGTCAGAAAGAGTGTAAAAGTTTTAAGGAAGCTTCATTGGTAAGTTTGATAAATAAATCTAAGTGAAAAAAAAAACTGAAAGTCGTTTGAATGTTCGATATCCGCGAAATCTAACCACCCTGCTGATGTTTTGAGAATGCCGTTAATCGGTTCTTCGACACCAACATCTCTCAAGCTTTCTGCATTGGAGTATTCTGTTCCTGTTCCTGAGACATAAGGAATGCTATGCTAGGATGAATACCCATGCACCGAGTTCCAAATCCTTATTTTAACTATTACTTACTAATTAGCGCTATTTCTTTTTGCCCGAGAAACACGGTTTAGTCAGTTACGTATGCATTATTTCGTCTCGGTGCGGGAAGTGGTATTCGCTTAGCATTTTTGTATGACGATGCCGACGGTTTGTGAACCATGAAAAAGTTTCTCAAATGACAAGGCTTTACTAGTGAGATGAGAGAAGGTGTATAGATATTGTTTAGACACACTAAGACAAGATATAGTCATTATTGATTCAAAATTTAGACAGTTTTTTCACTTTTACCGCACTTAAAAGGTCGGGTTGGTGCTTGACTGCGTGACGGATGATACGAATGAGCAGGTCCTGGTAACTAATTGGAACGCGTGACATACAATAATTGTGGTGCAATAACTACACCAGAGGATGATTTCTTCGTTTTTGTGGGGACTTGTAGGACACCAGATTAAATGGGGGATATTTAAGTTAAGCTTTTTATGTTTAGAAATAACTTTTGATTAAAATGAACAATTCGCGAAGTCAGCGACTCGCAGATGAGGCAAGCGCTGGAAAGCCGCTAAAGGTGAGGAACATCCGTTTAACTTTTTCGTAAAGTAAAATTCGATTGTCCAGCATTTTTTAACACTCCTAGTCTCAGACAAGAGCGAGCAATATTCTGGATAAATCCATAAATCCAGGACAGTGTAAAAGGAGACGGATTCACAAAGGTTATGGATTTGAATGATGGAGAGGCCGGCCCACTTTTCCGGCCTTGGGTCGCGGTGGCTATCACAAAACTTTCATTGGCAATCTCCCCTCAATAAATGATAATGACTCTTTACTCTCTACTGCCTACCCTAGGTCAATGAATAACTGTAGATCATTCTCACCGGACATGCCTTCTTACGATACTGTTTTTTCGTTACATGTGGCTTAATTAGCTAACAGACTTTTGATTTTTCCCTTCACCAATCACATATTTTCCTATACATTATTTCAACCTAATTTTAGAATCGTTCTTACTATCAGAAAGCATAATTCATAAGTGACAGTATAGTACCTGATCTAGGTCTACAGATATCGGCGTTAAGGTTACGGCGAAATTCGTAATTTAATTCGTTTGTCTCTACATAGGGGCATTTCATGAAGCCACATAGTTTGTCGGAAGCTTTATATTATTACCAGGAAAACAGCGAGTTTTGTAATTATCATAATTACCTGCAGATATTTCCTGCCGTGAAATTTGATACAACCTGACTAATTTCATTAGGGAAAAAAAAAGGCAATTTTTTTTCTTTTGTCAGAGAGGTCACAATATTCAACTGTCCAAAGCTCTTTCTTACATTCTTCGACATGGTGCATCAAAAGAGGGGCTGCAAATGTCTGAAGGTAAATGTTTCTAGAATTGTATTATTACAGCTATAATACATGTTTGAGATTTTTCAGGTAGTATTAACATCTAGGTGATTTTAAGTTTTACCACATACTTAAGTAACAATCTTTTTGAATTAAGGGGATCAGTTTCTAAAGAAACTATGATGGTGCATTGGTGGAAAAGTATAACAGGGTAATTTAGTGTTATCAACTGAGTTGATGATGTAAATATTGGCCACCATAGCTTTTAAACTCTTCACTGTTGCCAGTTGATGTTATCAATTCAATTGATAATACTGAATTACCCTGTTAAGAATTTTATATGTTCCCTTTTACTGATAAAAAGAGAGGCCTAACGTAACTGCAGGCAGTAAATCTACTTGTGAATAAAGTTCCCCTGTGAATGTAAAGGATCAAAAGCCTGATTGGTCAAGCCATGTTGGTTCACTTTGCTGCTGCAATGTTTATCCTGGTACTGAGTGATCCAAGCCCTAAACAAAACTGGCTAACTTTGTCAAAATCATACACTGATGGCAATCAAGGGAGCCATCCCCACTTACTAGTAAGCAGTTGAGATCCTGCAATTGTGTAAGACTCAGAGTCATGGCCTGCTCTCCAAGCATTTGATTCATGACAAGCCAACTTGGAAGTACCAATTAAGCCCAGGGTAGATGGATATGGCCTCTGGAACAACATCAAAATCTGAATTCATGCACTCAATTGAAGACCTGCAAGACTTAAATTAATGTAAAAAAGTTCCACATTGAATTTAAAAGAAAATTAATCCCATCAAGTTGTATTAACACTTTCACTCCCAAGATTCAAAATATCATATTGTCTCACCATCTGTCACACACATCTTGTATCTGAGAATTTGATGTTGTAAGTCTAGCAGTTCATTATATGTAAACAGTAATTTTCCTTTTCTTCCATCACCCATCTGTTTTAAAATGTATTGAGATTCTTGAGAGAAATGAATTATTATTATTTTTTTGGTCAGGAAAAGAATGGTTTACTCAATGATTATAGAATATATTTGTTAGTATTAATTTGATATTTATGCCCACAGGATTTGTCTTTGTTGATGAGCTGTTAAAATTACGACAGTTTAAAAGATATTCTGAGAATGAAGTAAGAAAAGTTGTTGATGAGAATGACAAGAAGAGGTTTGCCCTGAGACTTGATCCAGTGACAAATAGGCTGCAAATCAGAGCAAATCAAGGACACACCATCGAGGTTAGCATTTCTGCATTGTAAGAGATTAGGAATGTTGACTTTCAGAAAAGAAATCTCTTTAGACAATCATGATACAAGATTTCAGTTTTATGTTATATTATTAGGGCTTACAATATGACAATTCAATATCAAACAGCCAAGTGATGAGAATAGCTATAAATGTTTACTAATAATTTAAAATTTATGATAATAACTTGAATAATTGTTCAGCCCAATATACATATGAAAAAATATAATCTAAACATTCGATGACTAATGAAGTGGGCCTTGGATCCAGCATGCACAACTTTTTCACTGACTTCTGGATTAAAGTGCAAATGGACAAAACAACTCTAGCCTTTGCTCAAATTGGCCAATGAAACTAAGGGATTATTATTTTATCCAACACTAAATTCTCAGAAAAAGATTCATGAGAAATGTGTTATGAGATGTATCTTCATTAACTTGAAGATATCAGGAGTGAAAGAGTTAATAATTGTTGGTTGATTTTTCTTTTTTTGGCATTTTAGGTCGATGACCTTGAACTTAATCCCATCACAGATCCCTCCAATGCACCAGTTGTTGTGCATGGCACCTATCGTGAGTGTTGGGAGCTAATAAAAGCTCAGGTGGGTGTTTTTACTTTTTTCACTGATTTTTTTTGCTTTCCTTTTTCATCAACCTCATCTGGCTCAGTTGGTACTTGCAAAAAACACATTTTTTTATTTTATCAGGGTTTGTCAAGAATGAGCAGAAATCACATCCATTTTGCACCAGGAGAACCAGGGGAAGAAGGAGTCATCAGTGGTTAGTAAATTAAAGTTTATAAATACTGTAAATGCTGTGCCTCTCTAGGTTAACGATTTATTTTGCTACTGACTCTGTGCAATACATTTCTTTATTTAAAGAATATATTCTGAGGAAGGGCCAGTGCTTGAAATGTCAGCTTTTAAACTCTTTACAGTGGCCAATTTATGTAATCAGCTCAGTTGATAACACTAAATTACCCTGTTATATTCTCCCACCAATGCAGCACCACAGTTTCTTCAGAAACTTACCCCTCTTCATTCATTTTTTTTTAAAGAAGGGTAATTTAGTGTAAACATTTGAGCTGATAACCTAAATTAGCCTCTGTGAAGAGTTAATAAACTCAGGTCTTGAGCATTAGCCCTTCTTAAGAGCTTAATAGGAAGGGCTAATGTCCGAAATGTCAGCTCACAAACTCTTTACTGTGGCTAATTTACCATATTAACTCAGTTGATAACACTTAATTACCCTGTTATACCCTTGCACCAAAGCAGCACCACAATTTCTTTCAAAATTTACCCTCTCTAAGTATGTGTTTGAAATACTTAACAAATGTTACTAATAAAATCATCAATGATGGCTCCATTGTAAGGTTCAAAGACAACCCTTTCAACAACTTATAGTAACACTGTGCCTTTTGGTTTACATGTATTGTGTACTTCTGGTTGAGAAGGTTGATTAAGAGTCCACAACTCCTGTTTAAATCAATTTTTTACACAATCTTTATTTTTTGTAAGAAGTAATGACACTTTTGAAGCCAATCAGTCTTTAATACCTGTACCTCAGTAAAAGTGGCTTTACAAAGAGCTAATCAGGAGTGTAACATAAAAAGCTTAAGGAAAATTACTTAGAGTGCAAGTGGAGAAAAAAACAACAACAACAACAACAACAACCAACCAACCAATTGAAGAAAGCAAAGTAGAAAAAGGGAGAGATGGGTGATTGTCCCCATAATTTTTGATATAACATGTGAATAACCTGATCTTTTCTTATCTTAACATGTGTCTTTGAGTCAGTCAGTTATTCTTATTGTTTTCTTTTACTAAATTTAATTTGTAATCCTTTAGGAATGCGTTCAAGTTGTGAGATCCTGGTGTTTATTGACCTCAGAAAGGCACTGAGTGGTACAGTGACTGATAATAAGTTTGGATCAATATCAATATCTGGGCAACGGCCCACCTACCCCTCCCCTAACCCAACAACAGTCAATTGATAACAAGTTAGGGTGAATGTTGGGTTAGGGGAGGGGTAGGTGGGCAGTTGCCCAGATACTGATATTGATCCATAAGTTTTATAATATGTGGTTGACTTGTGATTTATTTGTCCCAGTTTTGTTTAATATTGTAATTTTCCTGTTTTTGTTTTGCTTTTGGATTCTTTTTATTTTATTTTACTGATCAAAGTGTTATTACTTGAATCCTTCACACTGGTCCCATATTATTATACACTCTAGTTAACACCTAGCTCACCACAGAGTCCCAGTGGTAGAGTGTTGGAGCACGGAATTCAAAGGTCCAAGGTTTGATTCCTCATAGAAACTCAGAATCTTTTCTGCTTGTAACAGGACACAAAAAAATATTTCTCTACACAAAGCAATGTTGGTAAAAACTTTAACAATTAGGCAACAAAGTATAGTGTTCTTGAATTACAGTTTTTTAACCCACTAAAGTATTAATTAATACATTTTTTTTCATTCAGATGGCTTCAAATTTTACCGATCAGCCAACAATGTGATTCTGTGTCCCGGGAATGAACAAGGATTTCTTCCACCTCAATACTTTGAAAAAGTTATGCAGACTAAACCCAGTAAGTATTTCATTTTAATTTCTTTCACGATAGAACAGTCTACATCTTAGTAGAAAAGAAGCCATCTAACAGAGCACTCAAACTCTGCTGGTTGGTAAGGATTTGATGCTTTTTAATATGGCACTGTTTTGTTTTTGTTTTCAGAAAGACAACTACTTCTCTTTGCCAGCTGATCATAAAATTTATAATACCTACTGGTATATGCAAATATATGTTGTGATTAAAATCTTTCCTTAGTTTGAAACTTTTAAAAAACCACAGAAAATGTACATTCAAACCACAAAGTATATTGTACACGACTTGTATGAGGGGGTGAATAAGGGGTGAGACCAGTCATAACTTTGTAATTCTATAATTTTATTTATCAATCATGTAATGATGAGAAGATCGAGAAATCAGTGACTGATCAGTTACACCAAATACATGTCAGAAAAAGATGAAACTAGACCAAAATTAATTTTCATTAAATAATTAGCTGTAACAGTAAATATGGTTAAACATGATCAACTCCTCATCCAGTTCCTAAGGCAGTAGTTGGTATCCCTGTGTCTGCAAAGTTTTGTTTCCAAATAAACTCAGTTTGATATGAACTTCCATCACCACAGCTCTGAGCACAAGTGTACACAACTAATGTTCCCCAATCAACACTTTCTTCAAGACTGTCAACCTGCAAGTGGTTGAGCAACTGAGGCATAATCTGAAAAGGAAATTAGGAAGCAATCTTTAGTAGGAGTATTAAAAAAATTTGAAAGAATCATTAAAAAGTTTAATTTAAGAGAAGAAAATCAAACAGAGTATAAAAAAAAGGCCATAACAGGTTCTTTGAAGACTTTTTAGCCATGATATGGATTCTCTACTTCAGTCGTTAGATTCACACCTGTTACCACAACAATATTTTTGTTGAGTGAGATATGTGAAGGAGAAAGTGCAATGGACACTTTCCTGCAAATGGCAACCTTGTCTGTCTTTGGGTTCATCCCCAGTAAATGGAAACAAATAATGATAATTTTAAAAATGCCCTCATTTTGCCTTGATAGTGTTACTATGGAAATATTGTAGTTCCATTTCCTTTTTGCAAGTGTGCATACAAGCATGCACACTCACTTTGCCACTGTGTCTATTGCCCTGATAATTTTCTCATCTGAGGACTGAAATATTTGTCATTAGGAATAACAAAGTGAGGTTATTTTAATCCCTTAGCTCCCTGAGGTGATAAGCAAGTACAGGTATATTTTCCTCGCAATATTGTTGCATTTTTCAGCCAACATAATGGGAAGAAACAACTTTATCAGCTCCAAGGTGTTACCTGGATACATATTTGTACAACACTGAATTTAGATCTTGGGAATTATGATTCATTATTTTAAATTACAAAAATGATCCTTAGAGATGAGCTGCAATGAAAGAAATTGCACAAAACAGACACCTGAAAAAGTCTTCAATTTTGCAACAAAAAAGAGAATTTTCTGTTCAAAACATTGACTGCAACAAAACACAACACACATGGAGAAAGTGCCATTATCATGGCTTTCAAAAGCCTTAAATGTTACCATCATCATTACCTGAAATTCAAACACCCTTTCAGAACCACAATCACATATTGGAATGTCGTCTTCACTAGGCTTGCCTTCATCAGAGACCCAGAGAGGTTCACCACTTTGGTGATAGCGCAAAACCTGAAGGACAAAACAGGACATCTATCACAAAAAGTTCTGGTGTTTTACTAAGCTTGCAAAAAATTCCCTGTTAAAAGGGTTGTATTCCAAGAACTCGCACATGTGCTCTAACAGACTAATAAGAACATTACTTTGTCTTTAAAAGAAGACTGTAATGGAGAGGGAAAAGGTCTTTACAAAAGTCCTAGCATTAAATTTTTTTTTGTCAGCCCAGTTCATCTAAATGGAACTAGAACTAGAACTCTGGTAAATCTGAGTGGACAAAAAAGGAGGTTCCATAACTTACAGCACAGACTGAGAAAATGAGGTTATTGAGATATTTTTAAATATATCTCTGGGGTCAAATAGAGGAGGAAGATTTCATTTCAAACAAACTTCTGAATTCAGCAGGCTGTCCAGTGAAATACAGCCCACTAAATTAACCAGTCATGGTGCATGAGTTAGATATGTTATGAAACAATTATCTCTACTACCCAACACCCAATTAACAGACTTTAACAAGCACAATAACCATTTAGTACTGAATGAAGGAAGGAGAATGTTTTACAATTCTTTCTTACTCTCTCTTTAACAGACCTGTTTAGGTTCTCTGGTAATTCTCTTTTTGAATTTCCTAAACTGTTTATCAGCAAGTAAAGCTTCCTTTCCAAGAGAAGCTAATGATTCTAGTTCTTTGTCACTTTCTGTATCAGTGAGCAGCTCATTTGCTCTCACAAACTGTTTGTATTCATCTAATCTGTCTTTTTCACTTTTCTCACTTTCATCAGTTAAATCTGGTTCTGTTTCAATAAGTAACTCATATTCTGGAAAGAGAATTCTTCTGTTCCTACACTTGTTGCCTGAAAACAAAAATGAATGAATAAACAAATAAATAAAAGAAAATACAAACAAACTGAAAAAATGCATAAAAACCAAACTAAAATTTGATAAACTCTTAGGGATATATTATGATTTTAGATAAATGAAATTCATATATTTGCATTGTGGTGAAGAAACAAAATTAAGAAATCATTGCAGCTAAGAACACAAATTTAAATTAAAATGTATGAATTTCTTATATCTAAAATTATATCTAAAATCATCATTCATCACTTGGATGGTTTATTTGGACCCAACACATTGACCAGCTCCCAGTTGGCTTGTTAGCTCAGTTGGTAGAGCACTGTACCAGTATTGCAGAGGTCATGGGTTCAAATCCCGTATGGGCCTGAATTTAGTTCTTGAGGATATGTTCGAGGTATTAAAATAGTTTGATAATTTTCAACATTAATGGTTTTACTGTTATATGTTTCAGTAACTTCTACAGTTTGATGATTATTAGTGCTGAAATATGTTCTGACTGGTTTGTCATATTTTTGTTTACATAAAAGCCCTACACAGCTTGCTATGAAATTCAACCATTCAACACTTTGAGACTTGAAATGCATCCTGTTAAATGTGATCATCAATATCATTATTTTAATTGTAATAAATGAACTAGGCAAAGTCCTCACACAATGCAAGATCTCTGCACAACCACATGCTTTGTTATGCATTCAATTCCAATTCTTGGATATAGAAAATAATTTTGAAAATGATATATTGTCTTTTGGGCTATGGCTTGGTTTTAAAATAATATGGGGTTTAACTAAAAACATTCCTGCATCCAATTTAGTACAACTGTACATTTAATGAATGTTCTGTAAAAGAGAAAGTGATGAAGAAATAAATAAGACAAATCACACAAACAAATGATAGAAGGCTATTGAAGAATTCTTTACATCTTCTTTACACCATTCTACTAAATGGGCCTCCAGTACACCTCTTTCCTAAGATCATGGAGTAAAACGCAAAATGACTCTATTAGGAACCCTTCAACAGTCCCAGAGGCGATCAACATGTCCCCTTTCCTTCTTAATACCCATATACTATCCAGCATAACTAATTTACAAGAAAATGTACAGCATCTAGAACTGACAATCAGATCTTGGGAGTTAAAGGTTTAAAATCACCTTGTAACAGTTGCTCTTTACTTTCCTGTGCGCACAGTTTCGGACACAAGTTCTTATGACCTGATTTCCAATCCACCGTCTGATGTTCACGGCCACAGTACTGTGCCACGTGACATTTAGAACATTTCTTATCCCCTTTACACCCGCACACATCGCATAAACTGATCCATGTTTTGGGTTTGAACTCTTCAGCTACACATTCCATAGACAGCTCGTTAATTTCGTCCAATTCTGGCGGCGGATTATAGCTGTAAAACTTGTTATCGCGTTTTAATTGATTTCTTAGTACAAGGAAACAATCGGTGTAGTTTTTAGAGTGACAATTGCCATCTTTACAACAAAAAACGAAGATCGTTCGATGAAAACTTTGGTCATGTGGCATGGGAGCGTACACTTGTAAGAGAAATGCCATCGGTTTGAGGCAGATTTTGCACACCATACAGCTTGAATTGGGCAACTCTTGCAAGTTTAACCATGCTGGGGTTCCACCGATTTTGCTCGGAAAGAAGGCGCTTGTCATCTGCAGTTTACGAACAGCATCGTCACCAATTTCTTCTGCAAATCCTAATTCCACTTCTTTGGCCGCCATGTTGATTCACAAAGTTGACCGCTGACGAGGAAAGGTACGGGCTCTATCCCAGAGGGTAGTTTGAGGAGGGAGTGGGTAGGGATTTAAAAAAAAAAAAAAAAAAAAAAAAAAATGTTAAAATGTGAGGTGTAAAAAAGAAATCTTGGTGCAACTAATAAGAGTTAGAATCTGATCCGATTTGTACTTCAGATGCTTTACCTCTGAGCTATAGGAGTCTGATGGCAGGCTAGAGTATTTCACTAGGTCTATGGTGACAAACTTCCTGCTTACAGGTAGGGTAGGAAATGTGTCGATATGTGATGCTTATGCCCAGTGACATGGAAATGAAGATGGTCAAATGAAGATGATCAAATGTAGAGGATCAAACAGTAGATTACATACAAGATACCCCTATTTAGAAAGCTCTTTGATGCTGTCTTGAATATTTGAATCGATCACAACAAATTTGCACAAGTCAATATAATTGATAGTTATATGTATGATAATTTTACATAATAATAATAAATAATAATCAACAATCACTGAATAAGCTTGGAGAAAATTTTGGGATTAAATAGCATCATACTACTTCTGCATGCCAATTCAAGCTACATACATTCATTCAAATAAAAACAAATGTGTGACTTAAAAAAAACAGTCTGTATCTGAGAGGGTAACTTTAATTTTTCATAGATTAACTATAGTACACTATAGTTATAACAAAGTATCTATTAAATAACTAAACAAAAAAATACACCCCTACTCACCATTAAATTCTATTTGTATTTATTGTGAAGTTATGAAGTATCAACATCCTACAAATATGTGTTCTGATATGTAATTTAATTTTCATACATTGATTTTTCCACATACTTACGAAAAGTTATGTACTCAGTTTAAATACTGTCACTCAAACTTCTGGCCAGGGAGGAAATGCATTTACAATAATTACAGTGAGACATACTTTTACTGCTATATGTAACAATATCAACAGAATGAATTTTTTGTGAAGCTGAATGGGATACATGACTGTATAAATTCATTATTTTTTATGTCTTGGTAAGGTTATCACAGCTTTCAAAAATACCTCACATTAAAGCTCGATCTAAATATGTAGGAAAAAGTGAACTTAGAATAATTTACTGACACAATAACTTAAATGAAGCCTGAGAAAGCAGAAACAATTTTTGCTCCATAAAAAGACCTCATAGTCTTCATATACTGAGCTGTTCTGAAAGTCTACCTCATGCTTTCAAATGCTTTCAGTAGAAACAGAAGCATATGACCTAGGTTATAAGCTCAGTTCTGGTTGTACCATATGGCTTATTGGCAAATATTACCAGTACATGTCATGTGTAGTAAGCGAGTCATCTTTCATTCAAGGCTGATTCCTTGGCTAATTTCAAGCTTTTTCTCTCAGGGTTTTCATTAAGTTTCAAAGCAAACAGCAAAAACTGCAAGGTAGATGGCTAACAAAAGTGCAATTTTCACTCCATTGTTCTTAGTTTCAGAAAATTTTGCAGGAAATATTGTTAGAAATATATACAGTGAATTTTGCCCCTAATTGGCTCTTAATATAGAAATCCCAGTATCTACTTGCAGCTTTTTTGCTGTCTCTATGTTCCTCTAAAACACTGTTCCCTCCTTTAATCAAATCCTCCTCCATCATCAAAACCTCCGCCATCAAATCCACCACCATCATCAAACCCCCCACCACCATCAAACCCACCATTGTCACCATAATGTTCATGATACTCAGGGCCTCCATAGTGATGGTGCTCGTGAAAGTGATCCCCACCACTATGGAAGTGGTCATGATCATGGATATGGATATGTGACCCGTGCCCATAGTAATGAGGTCCATGCAGAGCATTTGCCATTACTGCTCCAGCTGCCATTCCAACCAAGAGGTCTCCACCTCTGTCTCTATCCTGGACCACAACTGTCTGAGGTTGCTGAATGACCCCAGGGGTTCCATATCCAACGGGCTGACCAGGATAACGCTGGTTGTAGTAAGCTGGTGGTGGTCCACGTTGTTGTGGATAGACTGCTTGTCGTGGGTAAGATGAGGGATATTGCACTGGAAATAGGAAATTTATCAGAAACTGTTATGAGGGAGACATTGTTTGATAAATATCTCAATGTTTCTGATGATGGAGGTGAGATTTCAGAAAAACAAAGTTAACTGTTAATTCCACAGTCAGATATCATTTATTTAGTTATTTGTTACATAGCACAACAGAGGCATTATGTGACAAAATGTTGAAAAAAAAAATGGAAAATTTTCTGCTAAGTTGCAGGTAAGCTGGCGTACAAGTTAAAACACCACTTTACTTAATATTTCATGCCATCTTCAATCATGCTCTCTTCACACACAATGACCATCAGTGGTCAACATTTGCCAGTAACAGTGTACTGTTACCCTCTGATTCCAGCTTATTTTACAATCTCGCCCACGAGCTGAGACTTTTCACAAGAAAGAGTCTCGTATCTACCCTTCGGCAGAAAGCTTCCCAACAATTAACATACATACAGTGGCGATACTAACCTACTGTTTGAGTTCCACTGTATTGTGGTGTTACCACAGTCGATTGCTGAGTTGTTATCTAATAGTAAACAAACCAGAAATAATAATACGGTTTACGTTACAGAAGTTTCTAATCCTGCGTTATATCTTTTCACTATAGTTGTGAGAATTCAAACGACAAGTATGTCTTTTCCAGATCAATGGCTTCCATTTCTAGCTAAAGCATCGTTAGGGAGCAAAGTATACAGTTTTCAAAACTCCACAAGGTTATAATAAGGGAAAATTTAAGGAATAACTTGGGAGGAGGAAGAAACAATTCACTTGACTAATTCTATTATAGGCATTGGTGTTCAACAAAATTGGTGTCGATGTCTGGACGTTAAGTATACGCTTGTCTTCATTACTTCCTGATTAATTAAACGGTGCCAACTTCAGCTTAGCATGTCGAATCAAGCATTCTGCGAGACAATGCTCGACTGGATGTTCTAAAAATCAGCCTCAAAAGAGAAATTAAAACAAATCTAGTCACCTGCGTGACAGCAATTTAAGGGAAAACAGTAACTCGTACGATTGCAACTTAGAGAAAAGATGATTTCACTCTGGTTTGTACCCTTACCACAGCGCCCGACGAAGAACTCCCGCAACCCATGAAGAAACAATTATAAACGAAAAAGCACCATGGTGAAAAATCGTCTACATTTGCACAACATTTATCACGAGGATCGAAGATTGAACGAAGAAAATCGATTACTAGCAACTAATTCTAGTCAGAGCGCCTGCGTATGACGTGCGGGTTCCATGGTAACGATGGCAGCAAAAACAGCTGGGACATTTAAAGTGAAAAACATGACGTAGTATTTTGGAGAAATTTTGTATATACTTCCCTTGGCCTGTGAAAACAATTCTTCCACGCATCATTCGAGATTCTCGCACCAGACGCTGATCCTGGCATCAGAGAGGTGTTTTTCCAGGTTATTTAAAAGAGCTTTCCAGAAATCGTACTGTCTCGGGTTGAGAATATTCACGGAAAATTCTGATTTTTTTCGCTTTACTTCTCGTATTCGTGAATAATAAAAAATAATTTTCCTTCTACGACTACCAACACGATTAATCCGGCTGAGCTCGAAATTCACAAACAATTTCAATCTTAAAACAAAAATTCCTTTCGTCGACATTTCTTCTTGTCTAAACTCGACAAAGTGATAAAAATGTTGCGGAAACCGAAGGTCGATTTTAGATATTAGTCTTATTGTTGATGTTGTTTTTATTTTTATGTTTCGGTATGTCATACTTTAGTTGTTTGGTTTTCTGTCTATCTTTCTTTTTATATATCATTTTTCTTCGCCGGTAACACTGATGGGGTGTAGATGATTACGTGTTAGGGATGTCAAAACTGGTGGAAATTTTACACTTACTTTTTAAGTTTGTTCTTACTAGTAATTGCCCAAGATTATCCGAATCTAAACTACCAACCGCAACAATAAAGTTTACAATGTCAAATACGACTTAAATCTGCGGTAATGTTATAGAGTCAACGAAAGTTTTCAATACTTTTCAAATGCAAGGCCGGTACCACTTGGGCAATGTAACGTTAAGCTACACCATAACACTTCAGTTTTCCCAATGTATAATATCCTTTTTCGTGCGAGCCATTTAAGTCTCCAAGTCTAATTTGTGTTACAGGCAGAACCGCCTTGTCCGTCAACAGACCCCCATCCTCTCTCCAGCCACTGAAACTGCCTCTACAATTACACATGTAACCGCTGGAACAAGAATTTGTTACTCCGCATGCGCATTTATTGACATGTCCTGTAGCTCCTCCCCAATAGTTCATTCGTGTTCCACTGCGTGACACCCACCAAGCATAACCAGCCTCGAAAAACGCTACACCAGCTGTACACTCAAAGTTGAGGAACTGTTCGCAATTTTGTGAGACTCGAGTTAGTGCTGCTAGTTGAGCAATACTGACTCCGGTGTATTGCACATCTTTTCTGTAACATCCAGGACCACCACATCCCCCTGATTTGTGATCAACAAAGGTTCTACTCTCACTGTCATGACTAATGACCGTCACGCCAACTCCACCTTTGTCACCCATGTCACAGTACACATTGAAAGGTGTTACGCCTCCTTTGCCATCAGGGTCAATCAAATAGGTACCTGAGGATGTTCCTCCACTGTATGTTTTAATGTCACTACAAGAGGTTGGTTTTAGAAATTCAAGCACGGTAGTTGCAGTTACAGAGCGATGAAAGTTTCTTGCGATGCAAGTGTAGGATCCAGCATCGTTGGGAGATAAACTTTTTAGAAGTAGGGAGCCATTTGAATAAAGGATATGACCTGAGGGCAGACCTTGGCCTGTCCGCTGCCACACGACTTCTCTTGCTCCTTGTGCTTTGCAAGTCAGTAACACATTTTCTGAAGGTTTGGCTGAACGTCTATGGGGAGGGAGTAGTGCAAACCTGAGTTGTTCAAACACCATGACTTGTGTATGGGCTGAGTCCTCGTTAAGAATGTTCTTTGCCGAACATATGTAGTCTCCACCGTCTGTTTTACTCACATTGGTTATTTCCAATTTGCCATTAAGAACTCTTGATCTTTCGTTGGACATGTGACCGACTGCTTTTCGCCACGTGACCGTTGGTGTCGGCTGACCAGTAGCTTGGCAAACCAGACTCACTTTGTGTCCTTCTTCAACGATAACAGATGAGGGTTTTTGAATGATTGATGCACCAACTGAATAAAAAACCGAGAGGTAAAAAAAGGTGATCAAACTTCTTAAGTGTCCCATCGGTGTCATTATATAATCATAATTTTTTTCCTCGGGGTTGATTTAAATCCGAGAGAGAAAACTTGAGAATTAAACATTTTATTTCTTCCTCTTGAAGTCGCCTTGTTCCATCAAAGCGCAAAAGTATGATTTACACTCTAGCTACATCAATTTATATCAGAACAATACAAAAAATGTACTTCGTGATGGATTTTTGTGAGTCGAGTGTGAATGTTTTATTTCTTACCTTGAACAGTCAACCTAGCCAATGACGTCATAACCCCAAGAATATTCCTCGCTTCACAAGTATAGGTTCCATCATCTTTTAACGTGACACCACTGATCACCAGGCCACCAGCAGTTGGCACGACTCGTTTGTCCGCGAGAAGACTGGAGTTATCTCTCAGCCATGTGACTTTAGGCTGTGGATTTCCTTCAACCTCACATTGAAACGACGCTGTACCAGTTTCGTTTACCACTATCGGCACTGGAGGTGTAACAATAGAGGGAGCTGAGATTGATTTACCAGGCTCGCCCCTAGCTCCAGGAGGGCCCAAAGGTCCGGGAGGTCCCTGAATGCCCTGGGGGCCCTTATTTCCTTTAGGTCCCTTTACTCCCCGTGGCCCAGGTGGTCCATGTTTACCTGGGGGCCCCCTTTGACCAGGTCTGCCTCGTCTTCCCCTGATGCTCTTGGGGCAATGAACACTGCAGGCCTGGCTCTTGATTACAAGTCGTACTTCTTTTCTGATCGCTTCACGATCGATGGTCACACTGCCGTTCAATCTCCTGTCTGTAGCTTTCACGTGCCGTTTGTAACGAATTTTTGGTTCTGCAAGAAACTTCACAGAATTAGTTCGGCGAAGTTCCATTCAGCTTATTAGACCACTTGGAAAATACTCAGAGTCCGTTTTAAAAGTGCGAGGCCCTCATACGGAAATGGATATTTATTACCATGAACAAGGCCTCATTTTGAAAGCCGGGTCATTTCGAACTCAAATTCAAGTTGGCTCGATTTCCAGCGGCTGTCTAAGAAATGAGTGAACTCGACAAAACGACAGAAATTGAGCCCAAACCAGAGATTAGTTGCGATAACGGCGATAATTCGATTTGTTGGTTGTGATACTTGACTTTTTTCCGTGTGTCTCTTAAGGTTTTATTTATCTTCTCGTGTGAAAATTATTCTAAAAAACGATTTTGTTCAAAGTATTTTTAACTGTTTCAAAGCTGTAATCTCCAGCGAATTAATTTTCCCCTGAAACTTCCTTTATTTTATTCTTGTTGTGAATTCCATCAAGAATTAGCCCCATTCCGGGCCGTTCGAGCGAAAAATAAATGAAATTTCTAGGTTGTACTTCAATAAAAGTACCCATTAGACGACAAAAGATAACTTCAATTCGTAAAACAGCTTTTGCACATGGAATGTCATGTTTTGAAATCAAACTGAAACGACACGAAACAGAACCAGACAAATCGTCATCTGAGTAAAGTAGCACGTGACTCTTTGATTGTTGATTGATGTGTTGAGGCTGACCTAGTGAATCTTTACACCGTTAAAAAAAACAAAAAACACAATTGCTTGGGTCGACAGCTCTTTATTTTAAGCTATAGAGGTATTCAAGAAACAACGAGGAGACGAACGTTTAAACGAATTTCAAATGAAAACTTTCCACATTACAAATCGGACTTCCCAACTTTTTGAACGTTACTCAGGATCTGCATCAACCAATTTTAGTTAGAGGTCGTTCTACCGTTCTAAGTGTTTTGCACTTAAACTCACCTTTATGCGAGTAAGGGAATAACATGATCATCTCATTCGTTTTTTCGCCGTTTTCTGTGTTCCTCAGCTCGACTTTCTCTTCTTTTGGTTGACTCAAGGCTTGAAGCATTTGTCGATGAGCGTAAAGTTCGATCTCGACATGAATCAGTCCCGCGAAGCAAATAACGAAGAGAAATAAGGATGAAAACACCAGCTTGTTATCAACTGGGGTCATCTTTGATCTCTCCATAACACTGTCTGCCTTGGCGAGGTTGTGAAAAAGCAAAGTCTTTGTTTTACGAAAACTATATAAACCTGGGCCTATGTAATTACAAGGGAGGCATAAATACGCAATGCATTTCAGGGTCATCTAATCCTTCGGTGTGATCCTTTATTGTTTCCTCGGCTTTTATTGTATTAATTCCACTGCATGTAACTGGTTTCAGTTTTCATATCAACAAGTTTTTGGATTGTTGATGAAGAGTTAAAGGTCAGGTGTGGAATTAATTTGATAAAAAACCGTGTTTTTTTTTTTTTTTTTGACGCGGCTTATTCTAAGAAAGACTCTATTGAGAAAAAGAAAGAAAAGATCTGCACTGAAAAGCCCGCAACCTGCTTCTGGAACTTTGTTATTTCATGTGTTACCTCCACAATTTTCAACCAGGTGGGAAGAGTCTATGACATCATGCTTCGGTAAAAGCGTCCCAATGAAGAAAATAAGACCTAAAACATTCCAATTTCATTACTTTTTTCAAAAGCTTCCCGTGAAACGAAATTCGACTTTTTGAACTTTCAAATTAGACCGCCACTTTCATCAATGTAATTGTTGTGCAGCGTGCTAATCAACGTTTTTACTCAAAAGAGCTAAATCTTAAACTACGAGGTTTTTGTTTATTGGGAAATCTTTTTCATTTTATCGTACGTTAACATAACTTTATGGAGACGTCATGTTAACAGTGTTAAAACCCAGAAAAACACAAAAGTATGAAGCAATACTTCATTCTTACTCAGCTCTGGTGTTTCCCCAGACCATATGAATTATTCGCCAATCACATCTGTCCATTTTTTGTTCATCCAATCGCATCCGCTTTCGCCAATCTAAACATCAATGCAAGCGTGTTACCAGATTCCGCGACAGCCTTCTTTTGCACCACTAAATTAAGAAGCGTTATGAGGGGATTAAAGAGAAGTTATATAACACGCCTGGAAGTTTCCTTAGCCCATCACTTAATTGACGAAGAAATGTAAATAAGAAGAATAGGAAAGGTTCTTTGTAAAAAAAAATTTCCCAGTTAAGCTGGAGAGTTACGTTTTATGTTATGTTATGTTTACTAAGACCTCTTACAGTGTAAATAACTGAATTACAGGTCTGGCCAGCAGAGAATAAAAAAGCAATAACACAAAATATATAGCCAAGGAAAATTTGATTGTATTAGCAACCAACAAGCATATAATGGCAAAATAATGGCAAAACTAGCATGCGCAATGCATAAAGCGTATTTGAATGAGATGAAGTTCTTAAACCTGATGGTCGAAGTGCCACGGATATTTGAGTTTTTTCGGTTCTTTAGGTCTTCAGGTAACTATATTGAGTACCTACCATGCGACTACTAACGAGCTTGTACACAGTTTTATCTGATTTAAGACTGATAATAAACCTTTTGCACGCCATGATCCTTCTGTGTTTGAAGTGATTGTAAATCACTCACTGTTAGGGCTTCATTATATGATAACGTAGGAAAAACAATTTGAGGGGCGCGCTTTTGCATTTTTTCGATAGCATCTGACAAATAAAGCGGCAAGTTTGAAAACATAACGTACGCGTATTGTAATATTGATCTTACAGGAGATGTGCAGACTAGAATCGTATCTGAAGCAGGAACCGCAGCGCCCGAGCGACCTGAGCGCGTACAGTCCTCGGTTGGCTTTCTAAAGTCACAGTGTACCGCCCAAGTCAGATCTTCAGCCATGTAAACCCCAAGAAGCTTGAAAGAACTGACATGCTCTAACACGAGGTCGCTTGAGGCAACCTACAACCACTGATAACTATTATTGTGGAGAAAGTCAACCGACATCACCTTGCATTTCGCTGGATTTAGTTTCATATTATTAGCATAAGCAAACTCCTGGACGTCAGACACTATGTAGCTATTAAAGTAATGAGAGGGCATTTCTAGGGACAATCTCAATAGCTATCGCGTCGTCAACATATTTTTCTCGGGGCTACCAGTCACAAAAAAGGTCATCAACCATGATGTTGTCCCCCGAGGATGCCTCCGTTTAATTTCAAAACTGACGATGACGAGGAGGCTCGTTTGTTTTTCTTGTGAACCAGCGCTTTTGTTTAAATAGCGCCTCTGAAGTTTGCCATCCTTGTTAAATAGGACCCAAGGGTCAGTTGAAGTTTCCTGTCCGTGGAGAGGAGCTTGCGTTCGAAAGAGTGGTCGAAGTTGTTGTTCACTCAAAGCAGCAAATAAGAATTATAACGCAAACTGTCAGTGTCGCTGACGTTCCTGCAAAGAAGTGACTAAACGTCCGGCAGCCGGACACGGTCTTAAAATAATTAAACGTCTGGCAGTCTGATATTTTTCCATATTTCTCTTCGAAATCCAAAAAGTATTTATACGAAAATGTTCTACCTTTATTTACAATCCTCAAACATTTCCAGGGAGCCTAAAATTTTAACGTTTTTCGCTAACCCTATCTACAGAGTACGAAGCTATCCAAGCGCTTGACACTTAAAAACTTTTCAATGACACGGCTGGACATGGTCCTCAAATAATCCCATATTTCTCTTTAAAATATATCAATCTTTCGTTGTAAAATATTCTACCTTCATTTAAAATCCTCAAGCGCTTCTAGAAAGTGAAAAATTCGAACGTTGACCGTTTCGCCGACCTTGTACACAGAGTGCGAATAGATCCAAGAGTGACAGTTAGAAAATTTTCACCGGACACTACCGGACACGATCTTCGAATAACTACGTCCGGCAGTCTGATATTTTTCCATATTTCTCTTTGAAAAGTATCAATTTTTTATTGGAAAATATTATACCTTTATTTCGAATCCTCAAGCACTTCTAGAAAGTCAAAAAACTCGAACTTTGTTCACCGAGCAGGTTCCAGGTTCAGTACCTCCTGCTGCACTGTAGTTAGCTGCTGTGCTGCATATGTTAAAATGTGGCTTTAAGCCACACCATAACACTTGAGTTTTCCTAATGTATGATATCCTTCTTCAGTAGAAGCGTTCAAGTCTCCGAGTCTGATTTGGGTCACGGGGAGAACAGACTTGTCTGTCAACAGACCGCTGTCTTCTCTCCAGCCACCGCTACTGTTGTGACAATTACACTTTTTGCCATTAGAACAAGAATTTGTTACTCCGCATGCGCACATCTTATCAGAGCCTGTTGCTCCTCCCCAGTAGGTCATCCTTTTTCCATCACGTGACACCCACCAAGCGTAATTTTCCTGGATAAAAGCTACGTCATTGTTGCACTCAAACTTGATAAACTGTTCACAGTTCTGTGAGACTCGAGTGAGTGCTGCGAGCTGAGTGGTACTGACTCCAGTGTATCGCACATCTTTACTGTAACATCCGTCATCACCACATCCAGGAATGTTGCCAACATGAGTTCTTCTCTCACTGTCATGACTGATGACCGTCACACCGACTCCACCTTTGTCACTCATATCACAGTACACATTGAAGGGTGTCACGCCTCCTTTGCCATCAGGGTCAATCATATAGGTACCAGAGGATTTTCCTCCATAGCGTGTTTTTATGCCACTACAAGAGGTTGGGTTTTGAAATTCAAGCACGGTAGTTGCAGTAATAGAGCGATGAAAGTTTCTTGCGATGCAAGTGTAGGATCCAGCATCCCTAGGGGAAACATTTTTTATAAGTAAGGAGTCATTTGAATAAAGGATATGACCTGAGGGCAAACCTTGGCCTGTCCGCTGCCACACGACTTCTCTTGCTCCTTGTGCTTTGCAAGTCAGTAACACATTTTCTGAAGGTTTGGCTAAACGTTTATGGGGAGGGAGTAGTATAAACTTGAGTTGTTCAAGCACGATGACTTGTGTATGGGCCGAATCTTCGTTGACATTGTTCTTTGCCAAACATATGTAGTCTCCACCGTCCGTTTTAGTCACGTTGGTTATTTCCAATCTGCCATTAAAAACTCTCGATCTTTCGTTCGACATATGACCGACTGCTTTTCGCCATGTGACCGTTGGTGTAGGCTGACCAGAAACTTTGCAAACCAGATTCACTTTGTTTCCTTCTTCAACGATAACTGATGAGGGTTTTTGAATGATTGATGCACCAACTGAATAAAAAATCGAGAGGTAAAAACAGGTAAGCAAACTTCCTAAGTGTCCCCTCGGTGTAATGATATAATCATCATTTTTTTCCTCGGGGTTGATTTAAATCCGAGAGAGAAAACTTGAGAATTAAATATTCTCTTTCTTCCTCTTGAAGTCGCCTGTTTCATCAAAGCGCAAAAATATGATTTACTTTCTACATCAATTTATATCGGAACAGTACAAAAAAATATACTTCGTGAATGATTTTTGTGAGTCGAGTGTGAATGTTTTATTTCTTACCTTGAACAGTCAACCTAGCCAATGACGTCATAACCCCAAGAATATTCCGCGCTTCACAGGTGTAGGTTCCATTATCTTTTAACGTGACGTCCTTGATAACCAGGCCACCAGCAGTTGGCACGATTCGTTTATCCGCCAGAAGACTGGAGTTATCTCTCAGCCACGTGACTTTAGGTTGCGGGTTTCCTTCAACCTCACATTGAAACGAGGCTGCTCCAGTTTCGTTTACAACTATAGACATGGGAGGTGTCACAATAAAGGGAGCTGAGATTGATTTACCAGGCTCGCCCTTAGCTCCAGGAGGGCCCATAGGCCCGGGAGGTCCTTGAATTCCCTGAGGGCCCTGGTTTCCTTTAGGTCCCTTTACTCCTTGTGGTCCGGGTGGTCCATGTTTACCTGGAGGGCCTCTTTGACCAGGTCTGCCTCGTCTTCCCCTGATGCTCTTGGGGCAATGAACACTGCAGGCCTGGCTCTTGATAGCGAGTCGTACTTCTTTTCTGATCGATTCACGATCGATGGTTACGCTGGCGTTTGATCTCCCGTCTGTATTTTTCACTTGCCTTTTTTGACGAGTTTGAAGTTCTGCAAGAGACATCACAGTATAAGTGCGGCCACGTTCCACTTATCTTATTAGGGACACTTCTAAGATGCATAATATCTCTGCTTTAAAACGCGGGAAACTTCGGAACCTCTTGTAGATAAAATAATATTAAGCCTCGAAAATGGCCTATCTAGAAGCCTCGATTTCCAGTAGCTGCTTCAAAAATCAGTGAACTCGACGTAGGGATAGAACGTGAGCCGAAACTAGAGATTATTTTCGTTAAAGTAGCAATTTCTCGATCGCGAAACTCGACCAACGATTTGTTGTGTGTATATTTAATTTTTAATCGTACCTTCAAGTGAACAATAACTTAAACGCTTCTTTCCAAAGCACATTCACCTGCATGATTCAGTCGCAAAGTCGTAACTTCTGGTGTATGAACTCTCCCATAAAGCCTTCCTAAGTTTATATTTTAGTCTTGGTGTGGCCCATGGATTCCGTTAAGAATTCGGGTAGTTCTTCTACAAAAGTACCCATCATTGCAAAAGGAGAGGAAGGAATTTCTCTTCTTTAAGACTGCTTGTGCATAGTTTTGTAGTATTTGAAATAGAGCTAGAACTTTTTTTAATTGAAACGACACGAAAGAAAGCCGAACATGTTGCCAATGGAGTAGAAAAGTAGCTGAATTTATTTAAAATTGACTGAAGCATAGAGGAATGAAGAATATTTAAAGTGATAAAAACCTTCATTAGGATTCTTCCTATTTTTGAAATTGAACGAGCTTTCCCGGAAAGCTAAAGGAAAGAAAATATGTTGTTTCCAGCGAAACTGATTTTTTTTCCTGTCGTTATTGCTGAAAGGCTCGGCTTCCGTCCTGTCGGAGTGTCATCCTGTTTTGCTCACAGGAACTTACTTCCTCGTTTGATTGAAGTAACGCTTTTGATCGGAATGAAACCATTGTTTTTATCGTAAAAAAAATTTGAAGTAAATAAACATTACTTGCTGACCTCATGATTTGTCAACTTTATTCCTTTGAAATGATATGCACCTATAAAAAGATGGCAAAAGCGATGCTTCTTATCATCACGAACTTTGCGTGACCCCTTGGGTTTCGTCAGTGGACCTTCTTTGTCTTGAGAAATTCTAAAGTCATGAGAATTTTCTCCCTTTAGAAGCTAAGAAGCTCACAATAACAATAACAGTTTTCTTGGGTTGAGAGCCACTTGATTGAAGATTCAGAGATATTCACAAAAGAAAGATAAGACGAAAATACAGACTGAATTTCAAATGGAAACCTTCAAAATTTCAGATAAACTTTTCAACTTTCATAACGTTACTCAGCATCTGCATTGAGTGACTTCTACTGCTTCTTGAGATTTTTTGAGTTTAAACCCACCTTCATTTGGGTAAGGATATAAAATATTCATCTCAGTCGGCTTTTCGTCATTTGCTAGGTTCTTCAGCTCGAGTTTCTCTTCTTTTGGTTGATTCAAGACTTGAAGCATTTGTCGATGAGCGTGAAGTTCGATCTCGACGTGAATCAGTGCCACGAAGCAAACAACGGAGAGAAATAACGATGAAAACACCAGAGAGTTAGAAACTGGCTTTGCCTTTGATTTCTCCATAACACGGAACGGAAGGCGAAACTGTGGTAAGATCTGTCTAACATGAAAATAGCTTCTTCAAACTGCAACGCATGTATTTATAATCACAGCGAGACATTACGTGTGGGTATGGAGTTCTTGCCCTCGAGTGACCTTTTCTTTTTGGTATCAGCTTGCACTGGTCACGTTTCATAAATTTTTTTTCATCAAAGCTTTATCAGTTTCCACCAGAACTACCCCGGTCAGCTAAGGATTTGCAATTGCAATTGTGACAATGTCACAGTCGTTTGGATGCAACCGTGTTCTGAATATCTTTATTGCGAAAGTTATTGGCCGATGCAACATGGAATTGACGTTGTTTTTCCTGTTCAGAGGGTGTCAATGAGGTGATAGCTTTTACGGCTAACGGTTAAAGTTTTGGCCAATTTACGGCTAACAGTTAACGTCTTTTCATTGTTTCCATCAGACATTTTTTACGGTTAACGTTTTTTACAACTAACGGTTAAAATTTGTCAATTTTTACGCCTAACGGCTAAAGTTTAGGGCCGTGTGATGGCTATCAGTTAACCCCATTAAGGACCTCTGTTCAAGGAGTCACGGCGTGCTTGCCAGAAAAGGAATAACGATTCAGGATTTCTAGAGCCTTAGACTTCGGATTAGTCCACTTCTTCATTTGACTTTTCAGATATTTATCTTTCAATGGGTGCTGACAAAGAGATAGGAAGTGCTTCTTTTCTCGTACCCAAGCCTCTCTCAAGGCTTATATGTTGATCATGACAGATAATAGATTGGCAGCCTTCCTTCCTTCCTTCCTTAGTCTAGTCCAAGGCTAAAATAGGGTCATACAAACAATGAAAAATGCTGTTTTTGATGGTATTGGAATCTACTCTGTTTAGATGATTATTTCTAGTATTCCAAATGCTATGCTTAACATTTATAGTGTAATTAGAAAGTTACCTCCAATTTCTAGAGCTTTGGGAACGCCATGCTAGGGATGACACTGGCAGGGAAGGACATAACGAATGGCATTAGAGAACTTGCTCCACACCGATTTGAATACTTTCACTAATAAAAAGACTAAAGAATGGTCATCTTTCAGAAAATGCAACAGACCTTCCTTGGCTGGCTGCCTTGTTTATTGACGTTATGTAAGGGTTGGAAAACCAATGGGTTTCTTCGCAAAAGAAAGTCAAGCTAAAGAAATAAAAAAGTTAGCTTTTTAAAATCTCTTAAATCAAGTCCTTACTTAAAATTAATGCAACTGAATTTCAGAAAGATTGATATTTTTCCAAGTTCAGTCACACTTGCTGCACTATACATATTAAAATGAAAGCCACGCCATAACACTTGAGTTTTCCTAATGTATGATATCCTTCTTCTTGTGAATCATCCAAGTCTCCGAGTCTGATCTGGGTCACGGGGAGAACAGACTAGTCTGTCATCAGACCGCTGTCTTCTTTCCAGCCACTGTCAGTGCGACCGTTGTAACAATTACACTTTTTGCCATTGGAACAGGAATTTGTTACTCCACATGCGCACATCTTATCATGGCCTGTTGCTCCTCCCCTGTAGTTTATCTGTATTCTATCACGTGACACCCATAAAGCGCTATTTTCCTGGATAAAAGCTACGTCATTGTTGCACTCAAACTTAATAAACTGTTCACAGTTCTGTGAAACTCGTGTGAGTGCTGCTAGCTGAGCGGTGCTAACTTCAGTGTATCGCACATCTTTACTGTAACATCTGCAACCACTATATCCAAGATTGTTGCCAACTGAGTTCTTCTCTCACAGTCATGACTGATGACCGTCACGCCAATTCCACCTTTGTCACCCATGTCACAGTACAAATTGAAGGGTGTCACGCCTCCTTTGCCATCAGGATCAATCATATAAGTACCTGAAGATTTTCCTCCACTGTGTGTCTTTATGTCACTACAAGAGGTTTGTTTTCGAAATTCAAGCACGGTAGTTGCATTAACAAAGCGATGAATATTTCGTGCGATGCAAGTGTAGGATCCAGCATCGTGGCGAGCAACATTTTTTAAAAGTAGAGAGCCATTTGAATAAAGGATATGACCTGAGGGCAGACCTTGGCCGTTCCGCTGCCATACGACTTCTCTTGCTTCTTGTGCTTTGCAAGTCAGTAACACATTTTCTGAAGGTGAGGCTAAACGTTTATGGGGAGGGAGTAATGTGAACTTGGGTTGTTCAAACACGGTGACTTGTGTATGGGCCGAGTCCTCGTTAAGAATGTTCTTTGCCGAACATATGTAGTCTCCACCGTCTGTTTTAGTCACATTGGTTATTTCCAATCTGTCATTAAAAACTCTTAATCTTTTGGATTTACATGTGACCGACTGCTTTTCGCCACGTGACCGTTGGTGTCGGCTGACCGGTAGCTTGGCAAACCAGACTCACCTTGTATCCTTCTTCAACGATAACTGATGAGGGTTTTTGAATGATTGATGCACCAACTGAATGAAAAACCGAGAGGTAAAAAAAGGTAAGCAAGTTTTCCCGGCCGCTCGAGCGAAAACTATTTAGGGTTTAGGGTAGTTCTTCGATAAAATTACCCATTAAAGGGAAAAACAGTTTCTCTTCGTAAAACAGCTTTTGCACAAAATTTTTAAATCAAACTGAAACGACACGAAACAGAGCTAAACAAATCGTCATCTGAGTTGAACAGCACATGACTCTTTGACAATTGATTGATGTTTTGAGGTTGACCTAAAGAATTTTTACACCGTAAAAAAAGAACTTCATTATAAGTCTTGATCCGACTAATCATGAAAGCTGAAAGGAAATAAAATGTGGACACCAGAGGAATTTTTTTCCTGTTGTTAATGCTGAAAGGCTCAGCTTCTATCTTAACAGTGTCATCCTGTTTTGCTTGCAGTGCAAGAACTTCCTCGTTCACAGTTACGCTTTTGATTTGAATTGAAGGTTAAAAAAACAAAAATAATCGCTTGAGTTGACAGCCATTTGCTTTAAGGTATAAAGTTCTTCACGAGAGAACGAGGAGACGAATATTTAAACGAATTTCAAATGAAAACTTTCTAAATTACAAAACGACTTTCAACTTTTTGAACGTTACGCAGGATCTACATCAACTAATTCTAGTTTAAGGTCGATCGTTCTAAGTATTTTGCGCATAAACCTACCTTTATGTGAGGAAGGGAATAACATGATCATTTCATTCGTTTTTTCTTCGTTTGCTGTGTTCTGCAGCTCGACTCTCCCTTCTTTTGGTTGACTCAAGGCTTGAAGCGGAGCTCGATCTCGACGTGAATCAGTCCCGCGAAGCAAATAACGAAGAAAAATAACGATGAAAACACCAGCTTATTATGAACTGGGTTCATCTTTGATTTCTTCATAACACTGTTTGCCCTGGCGAGGTTGCGAGGAGGTAAAGTCTTTGTTTTATGAAAGCTGTGTAAACCTGGGCCTATATAATCACAAGGGAAACATAAGAAATACGCAATGCGTTTTGGTCATTTAATCCTCCAATCTGATCCTTTGTTGTTTGATTCAACTGCATGTGACTGGTTTCAGTTTTCATGTAAACAAGTTTAAGATTGTTATTGATGAAGAGTTAAAGGTCAGGTATGGAATTAATTTTAGAAACAACCTTGTTTTGATTTTGACGCGGCTAATTCTGAGAAAGACTCTATTGAGAAAAAGAAAAAAAGGATCTGAATTGAATGGCCCCAACCTACTTCTGGAACTTCGTTATTTCTCTTGTTACCACCAGACTTTTCAACTAGATAGGAAGAATCTGCTTTGGCAAAAGCGCCCAACGAAGGAAATAAGGCCTTGAACATTCCAATTTCTTTACTATTCATAAGAGTGCTGGGCTTTCCACCAAAGGTGAAAGATCAGGGATATTACATTTGCAAAAGCCTCCTATGAAACAAAATTCGACTTTTTTAACTTTGAAATTAGACCGCCACGTTCATTAATATAATTGTTGAGCAGCGTGCCAATGAAAGTTTTCAGTCAAAACAGCTAAATCTATACTACGAGGTTTTTGTTATATTAATGAAATCTTTTTCATTTTATCGTATGCTAATATTACTTTATGGAGACGCCATGTAAACAGTGTTAAAACCCAGAAAAAACGCAAAAGTATATAGCAATACTTCCTTCTTAGTCAGCTCTGGTTTTTCCCCGGACCATATCAATTATTCGCCAATCACATCTGTCAATTTTTTTCTCATGCAGACGCTATGTAAACAGCGTTACCCAGAAGAACACAAATTTAAAGTATATTGCAACATTTCTTTATTACTCAGCTCTGGTATTTCCCCAGACCGTATGAATTATCCGCGAATCATATCTGTCCACTTTTTTTACTCATCCAATCTCTTCCGCTTTCGCCGACCTAAATTTGTCGAGCAGAATATCAATGCAAGCGTGCTACCAATTTCGTGACAGCATTCTTTTGCATCATTAAATTAAGAAGCGTTCTAAGGGGAATTAAGAGAAGTCATTCATTACATCTGGATGTTTTCTTGGCCCATGACTTGACTGAACGAAGAAATGTAAATAGAACTGAAGAATAAGAAAGGTTCTTTGTACACAAAAATTTCTCAGTAAAGCTGGAAAGTTACGAAATTGATAGGTTCCTAACAGTTCCTACACAACTATATACGATAACACTTAACAATCATATTTTTTCCCATTGAAACACGAGGTCGGTACTCCGCATGCGTACATCTTGTTAGAGCCTGTAGCCTTTTTGTAGTTGTTGTTTGTATGTCTGTCTGTCTGTCCTTTTTTTTAAAACCTTTTTTCCTTGCTGGTAACACTAATGGGGTGTATACAATTACGTGTTAGAGATGTCAAAATTAGTGGAGATTTTAAACTTAGTTTTTTAGCTTGTTCTAATAATTGCTCAAAATTATCCGAATCAAAACTACCAACCGCGGCAATCAAGTGCACAATTTAAAATGCGACTTGACCCTTTAAACCCTAAGAGTGACCAACATGTGATTTCTCCTTACAGTAACACTGCTGAATCATTCATTAAGATCATGAGAAGGAAAGAAATGATCGCCAACCTGAAAAGCTATGATTGTTAAACAAATTCTCCTTGTCAGTACCGAAGGAAATGTATAGA